GAGACTCCCATGGAGGGATCCTCTCATGCAGAGACGCCACAGCGCAGGAACCCCTCCATGCAGGGACCCCCATGCAGGATGAGGCGCTGACCCCACAGTCCCACGAGGGGACCAGGGCCCGTTGCAACAGGGCTGGTAGGCGGGCTGACAGGGTGCAGGCAGCAGCCATCCCTCAGCCTCCTCCCTCCCAGGGGCAGCTTTTCCTGCCTGCCAGGCCAGCACAAAGAGGGTTCTGTTGCTCTAAAAATACCCAGTGCCACAGCCAGCCAAGACAGGCAGAGCCAAGCCATCCGGCACAGCCGGGCACGCACGTGGCACGGGGCCAGGGCTGAGCCCGGCACAGGCACCCAGCGCAGCCAGAGAGACAGGTGAACTCACAGCACGAGACGCCCCACCGCCCACGAGCCAGAGGTGCCCCATGCCCGCGCTGCCCACCTGCACGGCCAGGAAATCCTCCTCGTCCGGCAGGATGCGGTAGGTGTGGACGTGTTTCTGGAACCTGTGGCAGCAGGGAGGGCATCAGGGTGCTGGGGGTTGGGTGGTGTCCCTCCACCTGCCTGCACGGCCCCTGCCAGCCCCGAAGGGATGCCCAGCACTCTTCCAGTCAGACCCCTACTTCACCAGTACCGACAGTGAGGAGCTCCAGTACCACTATTCCTCATGGAATGCAATGAGCTGACAGGGAACCCATGGAAAGCCCATGGGAAAATGCTTGCAGGATGGGTGCTGGGAGTCCGAGAGTGACTCCCCTGCTTGCTCCGACCCCACAGCTGACACCACTATGTCCTTGGCAGTGCTGCTGCCCCTGCTGCACCGCCTGTCTGTGCCAGAGGCACTGTCTCCAGCCCACAGCACAGGCTGGAGCTGGCAGGAGCAGGCAGGAGCTGGCAGCCAGGACACCAGGAAACAATTTATTTTCCTGTGGAAGCTGACAGGAACCAAGGACATGATCCCAGGGCAGAGGGTGATGGGCAGTGCTAAGAGATGGGGTGAAAACATCAGTGAGTGTAAGGAGCAGGATTGGAAGCCCTCCCCATTTCAGGGACTCCAGGAGACAGGGAGCCTCAGCACTGCCAGACCTCCCCACTCCAGGGCTGTCAGCAGGGATCGTGACTCCTTGGCTGGCCTCTGGTCACAGAGGTCACCATGAGCATTGAGGCTGCGTCACCACACAAGGGCCACTCAGCTGCTGTGTCCCCTGCCCCAGTGGCAGCTCAACACAGGGCTGGAGGACTGGGACAAGGCATCCATCCCCCCTATGCTGTGCCCCTGGACAGGGTGCTGTGCCCCCCATGTCCTATCACCCACTGTCAGGTCTCCTGGTGTCACCCTACAGTTCTGGTTACCCTGCCACCACCCCACAACACCAGGTGCCCTGGTGCCACCACATTCCCTGCAGTACCAGGTCCCCATTTCTCCCGCCTCCTCTGGAGGTACGACCTACCCCAGCATTGTTGGGGTCCTCCCAGGTGCCCCGATGCCCAGTCAGGGGTCATTGTGAGGGTGGGGCCACGGAGAAATCTCCAAGTGGCAGGGGGGGCTGAATGAGAATCCACTATGGGGGGGCTGTACAGAAAACCCTGCCTAGGGTGGGTGAAGGGATCAGGGGTTCCCAGACTCAAAGAAGTCTGTGGGAGAATCCCAGCTGGTAGGATGGGGGGGCACAAAGAGACACCCCCAAACGAGGGTAGCATAAGGGGTCTCTGTGGGAAGTCCTAACACACAATTGGGGTCTCCATAGCAGGAACACTAGTGGAGATGTGATGTGGGTGCAAGAGGAACCCCAGCACAGCACCAGTATGTAGAACTCCAGATTGGAGGGACAAGGAGCAGGACCCTTAGGAGGAACCTCAGCTGTGGGGGACATCAAGGGGTTCTCTACGGATGACTGGCAGGGGGCTGGAGGGACACCCAGCACAGGGGGTGGTACTGCGGAGGGGGATTGCAGGGCCCCCTGGCTGCCCAGTCCCGCACCGCTGTCGGCTGCTATTTTGGTGAGCAAAGACGGGGAGGGGGGGCCAGAGAGCACCGGGCTTGGGTACAAAGAGCCTTTATGCGGGAGCTACGGGACTCCCCGGTCGCTCTGACGCACAGCACCCTGCCACAACCCTGTCAGCACAGAGGGCACCCCATATCCCCACTGCTCTGTGGCACACAGAGGGGCACCTACCACCCGACTTCACCAAGAGCAGGGTGTGGGCACCCTGGCAAGGGGGATACCGTGTGCCCACTGGCACCATCCTGGCACTGGTGTCCCCCATGAACTGGCGGTGAGCCAGGATGGAAGCTCCAAGCCCCCATGCTCCTGTGGGACACCACACCAGGACTGTCCCCACTAGCACTGCTCACCAGCCAGTGATGTCAGCACGCCCTGGGGTACCACTGCTGTATGCTACCACTGTGAGTTCCAGTGATGCCCCAACATGCAACAGTGAGGCCACAAGTGTGACACCCTGGTGTGCCATGGTGAGACACCCCAGTGTGCCACGGCGAGGGCACAGTGAGATGTCCTGGTGTGCCACATCCAGCCTGGTGAGTCCATGGCACACCAGTGGGAGGGTTAAAGGAAGCCGATGCTGCCGGGATCCCGCTGCAGTTCCCTTTCCTCCTCCTGATTCTGCAGCTATATTTAGGACCCCAGCAATAGCTGGGGCCAATGGCTCCACAGCCCTGCCCACCCACTCACAGGCAATGGGGGTGCCTGGTGAGATCACAGCACCAGGGACTCCCAATAGCTCTTGTTGGAGTGCAGCCTCCCAACCTGGCATCCCCATGACGGGCTTTGCCATGCTGCGTGGTCCAATCCCACAGGCCAGCTACGTGGCACCCATGGCCTCCTCACCAAGCAGTAAGAGACATCAATGACAGGCACACCTTATCCAGGCACCCGTACCACAATGCTGTCTGTAGCCCCGTCACCCACACTGGTGCCACAATGCCCTCCAGCCATATGGCACCATTAGGTGCTGGAATTGCATGATCTCCCAGTGCTGTGCCTGGTGCTGCTGGCTGGCCCAGCTCTGTGGTGGGGAGCCAGTGCCCAGAGCCACACTGTGCCCACATGGCTGGGAAACTGCATTTGCCACCGTCCACGGGGAAGGACAACCATGCCACCATGAAGGCTGCATGCCTGGCAACTGCACGTGGCGCCAGCACAGAGCAACCCCAGGCCAGGGCAGGCCAGCTCACAGTGCACTCCCAATTCTCCCACAGGCTCTCAGGGCACAGAAAAGCTTTGAGTTCAAGTGCCCTCACCGCCACTCCACAACCACATCAAGGTCCAGGTGCTGGCACAGGTAGCCAGCCTCGAGCAGAGCTGGTGGCATGCCCCAGGAGCATCCCAGCACAACGAGGTGCCAGAAGCTCCAGGTATGGAGGGGTACTGGGGTACCCCACTGGGCAAAGGCACTTCAGGACCCCCAGGGCTGTCAGCACTCACCTGTGATCTGGCACAAGCTGGGAGCCATGGAGTTCCATGGCACAACTCAAGGGCACAGAGCTGTCCCCCCTTCCCAGGTTGGGGACCCCCAGACATGAGGGCAGGAGCTGGAGACCCCCAGTGCCATGGGTAGGCTCAGGGACCCTGAGAGTGTGTGGTAGGTGCCAGGCCCTCCATCTCACAGACCCCCAGGGTAGCGGGGGGGTGGGGGGGTGACACAGCCCTCCTTGAGCCAGCCCAATATGCCCCCACTGCCCCTCCAGAGTCTGTTGGTGTCTGGTCTCCTGGGACACCCCGATCACAGCAGGTGCCATTCCCCTGGTGCCCTGTGTCCCAGAAGTGCCAGTGTCCCTCTGAAACCCCAGGTCTCCCCGTGTCTGTGCCCGCAGCACCCACTGACCAGAGCTGTCCCAGCCTCCCTGTGCCCAAATTCCTAGCAGCCCCCACAGTACTGGCGACCCCCGTGCTCACTGTATCACTGTATCCCTCAGGTGGCTTTCCCTCTCTGTCTGTTGCCCTCTTGGTGTTCCCCTCCACCCCCACCAACGCTCCCCGAGTGCTCCCCTGGATCCCTTCCAGCGATCCCCACTGCTTCCCCTGCCAGTGCTTCCTTGGCGCCCCCCGTCCCGCCCTCGGTGCCTCTCCCACTGTTCTTCCCGGTCCTCTGCCAGTACTTCCTTGGACACCGGCCCTGTGTTCCACAGTGCTCCCCTGAATCCCTGCAGTGACCCCACCATGACGCCTCAGTGCTCTCCCTGGTACCTCGCTGGCGCTCCCCCAAATCCTCCCCTCTGCTCGCCCAGGACCCATCCCCGGTTGCCCTCCCGGCCCCCTGCTCTCCTCGGACCATCCCCGAGGCCCCTCTGGTGCCGCCCTGAACACTCCACTCCTACGTCCGAATCTCCCCCGGTACCCCCTCCCCGTTTCTCCCGGGATCCCCCCACCGCTCCGGCGGTACCTCGCCGGTGGCCCCCTCAAGCTCCCCCCTGCAGCTCTCCCATGGTCCCCCCCGGTCCTCCCCCCGACACCCTGCCCGTGCCTCCGCAGCTCCCCCGGCCCCGCGCCGGTCCCCTCCCGGTGCACCCCCGCCAGCCACCCCCGATGGCCGCTCCCAGATCTCCCCTCATGGTCCGCCGGTTCCGCGTGGGTGTCCCCCCGGCACCCCCCCGCCTGTACCCCACTCACAGCAGGCAGAGCGCGTAGGCCCCCGCCACGCTTTCGCTGTCCCGCACCAGGAAGCTGCCGTCCCGCCCGGCCCGCGCCAGCTGCTCCTCGGCCGCCGCCCGGCTCAGGTCCCGGTGGTACCAGGGGGGCACCGGCACTGGGGCCGCTCCTCCCGCGCCCCCCGCGCCCCCCGCACCCGCCATGCTCCGCCGCCGGGGCCGCGCCGCGGGGCCGCGCTCTGAGGGGGAGGGGGAGCCGAGGGGCGGGCACCGGGGCGGGGAAAGGTGGGGACGGGGACATCCCGAGGACGGGCGGGGGCTTCGGGGGTTGGGGACACCGTGGGCCCCAGAGGGACACCGATGAGGTACCCAGGGGCCCACGGGGAGAGATCCGGCGGTGGCCACCGTGAGAGGCGATCACGGAATGGAACACGCAGGAGTCGAGAGGGGCACCGGAGGGGACCCGCGGGGATCCTGGGGGAGCAGCAGGGAGAGCTTGGGGGAGCACCAGTGAGGTAACTGGGGAGCATTGGTGAGATCCTGGGGGGCGCACCTGAGAGGCACCGGGACAGATCAGGGGCCATGAGTAGGATGATCAGGGGGGCATCGGGGGTCTGATCGAGGGGCAGCGGCACCGAGGGGCGGAGAGCACCGGGTAGCGGGCAGCAGCAGTGGGGAGCACCGGGAGGATGAAGAGCACCGGGGCGAGGAGCACCTGGGAGGGGGAAAGCACTTGGAGAGATAGGGGCACCAGGGGAGCACCCAGGGGCATACCGAAGGGAGGAGCGAGGGCACGGTGGTATGAAGGCACCGGCGGTGTGAAGGTACCGGGGAGCCGGGCACCGGGGAAAGGGGGGCCACGGTGGGGCAGGGCTGGGTCCGGGGGCTGAAGAAGTGGGAGGCGCGACCCGGTTTCGCCACCAAAACCGGGGACTTCTCCATGGGCCAGGGATCGGAACGATGCCACCCCACAGCTGGAAACACGGAGCATGTGGGGGGAAAAGAGACAACTGGGGTGGGCTCTGGGCCGGCGGAACTCCCTTGATAACCACGCTCCCACCTCAGGGTCCCAGGGGTATCCTCCCCTTTTTCCCCATAATTTTCCCAGTCTCATCCTGTGCACCCCAGAGTGTCAGTGACACCCGGGGCCCTGGAGCCGTGTCAGGTGCTAGGACACATTCAGCGACCCCATCCTCCTGGGCCCCTGTGGCAGGCAGCCCTGTGCCTTGTGCTTTGCCCAGTACAGTGGTTTGGGGGAGGCAGTGCTGGGTAGCCAGGTTGATCGGTACAAATGAATAGGAGTGATGTCTGCTTCATCTCCCCACCAGAAGCAGGATGGGACAAGCAGACACCCCTAGGTCCCTCAACCATCCTACTGCCCCCCCAACCATCACACAACACCCCAAGACCAAGCAGGGCAGGAGCATTTATTCATGACCCACACGCCTCGAGGGGGGACACAGCTTGGGGACATCCCATGAGGAGGCACAAGGCAGCCTGTGGACCCCCCCCCGACCATCTACTGCCTGCTCCTGCCTGCAGCCCCTCCTGCTCAGAGCAGGGCCAGTAGGGTGAGGGGCAGCAGGGACAGCAGGATAGAGAGCAGGGAGTTTGGGGGAGCATCGCCATGGGCATAATACTGGGCGACGGCAACATTGGGGTTCCCCTGCGTGGGATCGAACCACATCTGGATGCAGTGACCGCTGCCACGGTGGTGGGATGTGTAGCGGTAGGAGCCAGACCAGACCTGCTCGCAGAGTGCAGCCGCCGTGGGGAACACAAACTTGAACTTCTGGCACATGGCACCCTTGGGACACTGGTTGGTGCCTGGGGGTGGGCAGGGGGTGAAGTGGATGAAGGGCTCTGGGAAATGGGTGTGGTTCCCCTGTGCATGGGGTGCAGATGGGTCACACTGGTATTGCTAGGGAAGAGAGAGTTGACCTCAAGGCGGCACAGGGTCTCACACCGCATTACCCCGTACCCCATGAGGACCCTCACACCCCCTGACCCATTCACACGCACAGGGGACTCCCACCTGGCTGCCACTCCCACCCCATGGGGACGCTCACACCCCCGAACCCACTCACAGCCACCAGGGAGGGTGGACACAACCTCCCCTGCAGCAAGATGGAGGGTGACTGGAGACCCACAGGAGGGTGAAGGCATGATGGGGGGTGGCCTGCAACCCCCACTCACCTGTAGTCCAGTTCCAGCCCTTGTGCCAATTGACCTTGCAGGTGACAGCATCCTGGCAATCTTCCCACCACTGCTCGCAGTCCTCTTGGCACAGTGGCACATCCCGGATCCGCTCCTTCCGCCAGCTGGTGTCTGCCTGCAGGGCCCCCAGTTTTCCCCCCAGTTCACCCCTGGCATCCTGGTGGGTGGGTGAGGGTGGGGTCTGCACCTACCTGGTCGATCCATGGCCCCAGGTTAGGGGAACACTCATAGAGACACGTGTCCTGGATGAAGTGACGCTTGCACTTCTCTGGCATGGCCCCACAGTGGTCCCAGTTGAAGTTGTACAGGTAGGACTGGTCCCGGTGAGCTTCCAAACTGGTGTTGGCAGTGCAGCAGGCATTGTCCTTCCAGAGGACACACTGCACCAGGGCAGCCGGGGCTCAGCTGGGACCCATCAGGACCCACCAGGCCTCAGATGGGACCTGCTGCAGGTCCAGGGAAAGCACCAGTGCCCATGGGTGGGTGACACTGGCTGATGGAATTAATGTTGGGGCACAGAGCCCCCCAGCCTCCATCCTGGTGACCCACAGCGAGTGACCAGTGGGTGCTGGTGCAGTGCATGAGGACCGTACCTGCCCGTAGAGCTGCCCCTCAGGGCCAGGCTCTGTTTTATGGTGCTTGGCATCCATGCAGACATTGAGCAGCGAGTCCTGTGTCACCCTCACTGCTGCGGCAGCAGCTGGCCAGGCCACCAGCAGAGCCAACACCGCTGCCATCGCTCTGCCAGGGCGACAGCAGGTCAGGACAGCAGCACTGAGAGACGCAGTGACAGCAGGGACAAAGTCCCCCACTGTGCATGTGGAAGCACAGCAGCACATGGTCACTGCCACGACCACCGACAACAGGGTCAAGGATCTTACCTGGGGGTGCCCGGGGGCCGGGGCTCTTACCTGGGGGGCAGCTGGGCTCCAGGTGCCATGGGACGAGCACAGCTCATCTCAAAGGTCGTGGTGCAGCACAACCCGTGGCCGCTGATCACGGGACGCGGGAATGCAGCGGATTGGGCAGCACTGAGGGCGCGGAGGAGACAGTGCACCCCGCCCTGGCACCCCACTGTGTCCTGGATTGACACTCGTGCCCATCCTGGCCCTCATCAGCCCCGCGTGCAGCTGGGATTCATCTTCCTGGCGCCAGGCTGGGACGAGCATCAGCCAAAATCCGCTTACGGCTGTTTTTCTTTCCCTCCTGTGGGAGGTGGCCTGACTCGCTGACACCAGCACAAGGGGCAGTACCTGGCCCCCCAACACCACAGGGTCCCTGTGAGTGACTGGGGGGGAACACCACAGTGGGTAAGAGATGCTGCTGGCAGGGACAGGTACCCCCCGCGGGGTCACAGATGGCCACAGGGTATAGGCAAGAACTCCTCATTGAATTGCAGGTACTCCAGGGGATCACAGATGCCCCATGGAGCGGGGAGCAGATACCCTGCGGGAGAGCTGTCACCTGTGGCTCGGGAGGGACAGAAACGCTCCAGAGTGAGACATGCCTCGGGGCGGGCGAACAGGGAGGGAAGATACCCTGTAAGGGACAGATACTTCCAAGGTCACAGGTGATGGGGGGCAGACACGCCCCGGGGATCGCAGATGCCCTGAGGGGATGGGAAGTTACACCCCTCACAGATGACAGATACCCCCACCCATGCATGACAGTTGCCCCCAAAGGAGCAGACACCCCGTCAGGATCACAGATACCTCCTCAGTGGGGACACTGGTACCTGTGGGGCTCACATACCCGCCATTAGTCACAAATACCCCGAGGGGGGCACACATGTTCGGCGGGGATCACAAACACCCCCTGCCCCAGCCTCGGGCGCGGGGGGGGCCCAGCCCATCGCCTGTCAATCATGCGGCTCTCCGCCTCCAGAGGCGCCCTGGGCCACGCACCATTAATTATCCCCCTTGTGGGCCCGGCCCAGGCATCACCGCTCTCCCTCTGCGCATGCTCCGTGCGCCGTAACTGGTTCCGGGTTGGACTGCACTTCCGGCTGGGCGGTGGCGCCGGCCTGGCGCTGCTCCCGCCGCTCCCGCCATGTCCACGCTGTTCCCCTCGCTGCTGCCCCGCCTCACCGAGTCCCTCTGGTTCAACCTCGACCGGCCGTGCGTTGACGAGACCGAGCTGCAGCAGCAGGAGCAGCAGCACCAGGCCTGGGTGGGCACCGGGGCGGGGGCAGAGTGAGGCCGCGGGGCCGGGTGTCAGGAGGCCGGGAACGGGTTCGGCGCTGGGGAAGCGGCCCCTGCTCCTTCAGCGGGCACGGCGCTCGTTGCGGCCCCGAGGCAGTGCCCGGGATGGGGGTTCGCGGGTGTCCCGGACACGGGGCTCCCCCCCCCGGGTGCTCACCGACTGTGCCCGTGCTGTGCGTCTTGTGCCGGTGTTGCCGGCTCGGGCATCGCTACTCTCGTGTCCGTCATCCGTGTGTCACGCCGGCTCGGTGCGGGCTGTTACCGGAGCTCCCCGTTTACTGTGTGGGGGTTAATTACTAAGATGCTGCTGAACCGAGGCTCCTGCACTAGCTCCCAATTAATTCATTAACTAGTCTCCCGAGGGAGGCGAGGAGTGATTTCTGATCCTGGTAACTGACAAGTGTTTGTGCTGTGAGCGTGGTTTGGTGCTGCAGTGCCCCTGAGTATGGGGGGAAGAACATCTATTTGATTAAAGTTTAAAAAAAAAAATCAGTAATTAAGTTTTTGTAATGAAATAATAAAGTTTAAATCAATTAAAACCCCAACACGTAGAAGAGGTTCCAAGTCCCTCTGGGGGGGAGGTGCTGACGTATTTTAATTGAGCTTTAATTATCTGCTATGGTTGTGTTTGTCTGGCTGATCAGATGTCCCAGATTTGGTTATTTTTTTGATAAAGAAATACATAAGCTTTGTGTTAGGGCTTCTAATGCCACCCATGGGGACACCTCGAACCCTCTCAGCACCAGAGGGTCATTGGGATCACCCTGCTTGGTGCCAGGGTGTTCAGGCAGGGTGTTAAAGCTGCTCTTCCCTTCTTGGCTGCGGGATGCCAGGGAGGCAGCAGGACTGGGGCTGGAAATAAGCATGGTCAGTAAGTGACACAAGGGCCAGAAGTGCCTCTTTGCTGGGGTGTCGTGGAGCTGTTGGAGTGCTTACCCACCTCTCTCCCTTCCCCAGCTCCAGAGCATTGCTGAGAAGGACAACAACTTGGTGCCCATAGGAAAGCCAGCGTCCGAGGTGGGTGTGTGGACAGGAAGTGGGGGGTTGCCACAGGGCTTGAGGGGCAGATCGGGTTGCTGGAGCTGTTGTGTCCACAGCACTATGATGAGGAGGAGGAGGAGGATGATGAAGATGATGAAGACAGCGAAGAGGACTCAGAAGATGATGAGGACATGCAGGATATGGATGAGATGAATGATTATAATGAGTCTCCTGATGATGGGGAGATCAATGAGGTAAATAGTGTGAGACCCCAAAGCAGGGGATGTGGAGTGTGTGGGACCCTGAGCATGAGCTCCAGGGGCTGTCTTCTCTCCTTCACACCCTCTATTAAGTTCTTGCTCTGGAGGAGATCTCAGACCTCTTTCTTTCCCAGGTGGACATGGAAGGGACAGAGCAGGACCAGGACCAGTGGATGATCTGATTCTGCCACAGCCACACCAAGCCAGAGGCTGGGGGAGAGCCTTTGCCCCCCACGGCTCTGGGGCACAGTTCAGTGAAGCTCCTTCTGCCATGGGTGCTGTGTGGGGCAGGAGGTTCAGAGGGAAACCCCCCCCCCCTTCCCCCAAGAGGAGCCAGAGGGGAGACTGCCACCTGGAACTGACACATCTTTTCTAATAAACTCCGTTTTCAAGAAAACAACCCCAAATCTGGTGTCTGAGGCCACCAGGGCAGGCAGGGGGTACCACCCAGGCAAGTGCAGGGCTGCTCCCCACCATCCACTGGCGTGCCTGGCAGACCTCCCTGCGCAGCGCAGGCAGGAGCACTCTGCGGAATGAGCCCCCTCATTACCCACTGCGCCCCGCCACAGACCACAGCAGCCACTGCGTTTCCTCCAGAGCCCATGTTGAAGCCATGGCAGGGGGCTGGGCAGCTGGCACTGCCATGGTAACTGGCCAGCACGAGGCAGCAGCCCGCTGCCCGTTCAGCGGGTACCGGTGTAGCGGAGCTCAGCGATACCATCAGGAATGGCGCGGAAGTACTCCAGGCTGGCGCGGTGCACCTTGCAGTGGTATTTGCCACAGGTCTTGGCGTACTGCAGGAAGTGGGGTGCCCCAGGGAAGAGGACATTATCAGCCAGGATGGTGGCCCCCTCAGCCAGCAGCTGGTGGCTCTCCAGCAGCCGTAGATCCCGCAGGTAGCTGCGTTTCCAGTGATCCATGAAGACCAAGTTGGCGTTCATCAGGCCGTGCTTCTCGCGCAGGCGGGGTATCACCTCCTCCGAGGGGCCCACGATCAGCTCCACCTGTGCTGCAGACCCTCAGTCACTGGGGCAGGGTGTCGGGGTGCCCACCCACCACCCTGCTTCACAGGGTAGTGAGAGGTCCACACGGCACGGGATCTTTCTCTTCCCACACACACTACCCGGCAGGTGCCGCAATCCCTGCCGCAGCAGCAGAGGACCCCCACCCACCTCCTCCCCGGTTTCACATGCGGAGCGGAGCTTTATCCCAGTGTCCGGGTGCTCACCGTCTGCTCGCTGAAGCCGGCCAGGCGGATGACCTTCTCGGCCACGGCAGCGTGTCGGGGGTCACCCTCGATGGTGTAGAGGCGGGCGCCTGGGGGCAGCCCCTGTGCCAGCAGCACCGTGCCGTAGCCACAGTACGTGCCCAGCTCCAGCACCCGCAGTGGTGCCCGCTCCAACAGCACCCGCTCCACGATCCGCCCTGACGTGGCACGTGCCTCTCAGCACCCGCCCATCTGTGCCACCCTAGCCCTGGGCAGGGCAAAGGTGCCAGGCAGTTCCCAGAGGGATGGAGGAGAGCCATGCCAAAAATGCCACAGCCAGGTCAATGATGCCATAGCCATACTGACGGTGCCAGGCTGTGCCGGCAGTGCAACGGCCATGTCACCGGTGCCACAGTCGTGCCAACAATACTATGGCTATATCAACAATGCCACTGCCATGCTGATAGTGGTGAGATCACACCAACACTATCACAGCCATGTCAGCGGTGTCAAGGCTATGCCAGTTGTGCCATGGCCGTGCCAGTGGTGCTGTGGGCGTGCTGGCAGTGCCACGGCCGTGTCAGTGATGCCGTGGCCACGCCCACTGCCATGCCCTGTGGTGTGGACAAGCAAGGGTGGCACTCACCTTTGTCGGGCCCCACACAGCTGAGGTGCTCACAGTGGTAGCACCACTGGTCGAAGGTCTGGAGGATGTGGTGGGGGTCCCCAGGGATGGCATGGGCCAGCAGGTACTGGAAGGCACGCTGCTCCCGCGAGGTGCCAGTGAGCCGGTCCCGCAGCCAGGCCACCAGCACTGCCCGGTACAGCAGCATCAGGTAGTGCCGGTACCGGATCAGCAGGGTGACAATGAAGGGGAGGAAGGCCAGGGCAATCGCTGGAGACACCATCACAAGGGATTGAGGCTGTGCTTTTTGCACAGTTGCTGAGTTGACTTTGTTAGTTTCCTACTTATCTTGGGAGTTCTGCCAAATGGGAAGTTCCGCACCCTTTGTGTCCACTATCAGTAGCATAACCTTGGCCAGGCTTTGAAAATCTCCCCTGTGCAGAGATCATTGAAGCATTGTGAGCCCTTAAACCGTAATGAGGCAAATCCATCCCCTCGCAGGGGTTGCTGTGGTATGAGTGGGAGCTGTGGGGCACAGGGTGCCAGCCTCACAGCTCCCACTCATGCCACGAGTTGGATGTGCTGTGCACCCCCTGGAAGTACCTCTCCCTGGGCTCCAGTGCTGCTGGGCCTGCAGGGCTGGGGCACCCCAGGATGCTGTGGAGATCTCTGTGCCAGGGCTGGGGAGTGCTGGGGACCCATCTGCCAGGGTCCAGATATTGGGGTTGGCAGGGCCGGCATTCCAGGGAATTGTGCTGCTGTGAGGGGCCTTGTTCAGCACAACCCCTGGCACCCACCTTGGTCCAGCTCCTATCCCCCATATTCTATACCTCACACCCTGCTCCCCACACCCTGAGCTGTTGGGGTGCCCAGCCACAGCAACAGGATAGGGCAATGGGGGTGGCACGTACCTGTCCCCACACTCCAGGCAGACAGAGGCAGGCAGTCCTGTGTGGAGCCTTGCTGCCACTCAATTATTGATGGTATCACCACAGCTGCAGCTGCTATCGGAGCTCCGGTTACCAGCTCCGCGGGGCTGGCTGGAGACGGGGCCGGGCTGGGGCTGGGAGGTGCTCCTGGGCTGCATAAAGGGGCCTGGGGCTGGGGTGCTGATACTGGGGCCTGGGGTACCAGTAGCATGGCTGGGGTCCCAGTCCTGGTGTGTAATACTAGGAGCTGTGGTCCTGGTACTGGAGCTGGAGTCCTGTCACTGTGCACCCAGAATACTGGGTACTGGAAACACTGGGCAACAGGACCACGGGCAGCCGGAAGCACTGGCACTGGGAGGACTGGGAGCTCTAATCAGTGGACACTCGGGACACTGTGGGCCCAGGGACCACGGGGGCATTGGGAGCACGGGGGGTGTAGAGGGCTGGGGCACTGGGATCTGTTGTGGCTTAGGAATGGTACTTACCCATTCAGTGCCCCCACTGAGACCCTCCGAACCATGCCCATTCTCCTGCTCCCCTGTTTTCTTTCCCCCTTCTCACAGCGGCAGGATGGAGAGGAGGCACAAAAGGTAAAGATCTCAGGCTGAGATTAGAACAATTTACTGGCTATAAGAAAATGAACAGTAACAGCAACAATATTCATGACAAGGGGTACACATGGAAGACCCCCTTCTGACAACAGATGACACCAGACAGCTCCCTCTGCCAATTTACTGGACAGTGAGTTGGCGTATGACAATGCAATGCTCTGTACAAACTCGTGCCACAAGGACTGTGTACATTGGACATCTGGGCCTAAAGGGGACTTTGTTATTCGAATCTCTATAGCAGACTCAACCTAATACAGCAAATGCTGAGATCAAATTTGATTCCAAGCCACTCTATTATTACCTCAACCCTCAGTGCCCCATGCTGGGTGACAAACAAGGACAGGAACCAAGCCCAAGCCATCCGCTTGCCCACTCCCCCATCAGAAAGATCAGGGAGAGAATTGGACTGGTAAAAGCTGGAAATCTCATGCTTTGAGATTAATACAGATTAATAGGGAAAGCAAAGACCACACACACAAGCAAAGCAAAGCAAGGAACTGAGCCATCACTTCACATGGGCAAGCAGGTGTTCAGCTATTCCAGGAGAGCAGGGCCCCGTCACATGTTACAGTTATTTGGGACAACAAACACCATCACTCCAGACATCCCCCTCTTCCCCATTCTTTTCCCACTTTATATTCTGAGCACTAGAAGACCTAGGAACACGGGGGCACCGTCTGAGCGCGGGAGCGCGCTCGGGCCTCACCGGGAGCGCGCGGGGGGGGCGGTGCCTGGCAGCAGACACGTGACCACGCCCGCAAGGCTGCGTGACGTAGCCCACGTGCTGGCGCGGTTCCGTCCCACGTGACGCCGCCGCGCGCGCCCTGGCGGCGGGCGCGGCCCTGCGCGCGCGCTCGCGCGTGTGCGTGTCCGTGTGTTCCCCGCCGCTCACGTGACCGGCGTGACTCGGCGCTCACGTGACCGCGCGGCGGGGCCGTGCCGCAGCCGGGGCCGCGCTCGCCATGGGCTGCTGCTACAGCAGCGAGGCCGAGGCCTCCGACCAGGTGGGCCTGGCGCCGGGGGTGGCACCGGGAGGGACGCTCGGCCCCGCTCCCGGGGCTTCCCGGTTGCGGGGGGGCAGGCGGCGCGCGTCCTCGGCGGGGCCCGGCCCTTCCCCGCTCCCGGGCAGTCTCTGAGCGCTGCTCCCGCCTGTCGCCGCCTGCGTGTCGCTCGTTCCTCGCGTGTCTCGCCCCGCCTCGTGTGTCCCCCCGGTGCCGCGTGGGGCTGGAGGCGGGGGCTCGGGGGTCGTGCCAGACCCTCCCGCTGCCGGTGTACGTCCAAGGCCTCAAACGGCACCGGCGGGAGCAGCGCCAGCTTTTCCTTCTTGGGACAGCGTGACTGCCACGCAGCTCGGGGGCCGGGGCAGAGCTGGGGCTGTCACCTGTCCCGCGAAACTTAATGCCCGGGTGCGCCGAGAGCTCGGCTGTGACAGCCCGTCCCAGGGGGAGCCCAGCCGGCTTTCGTGAGAAAGGAAGGAGAAGGGCCTGGGCTAGAGTATCGCAGCAGCATTTCCCAGCAGGACGAACGGGAGAGGAAGCTTCTGGCCAGGGAAGAGCTGGAGATGCCACTGACAGCGTGTGTGGAGAACTGGTTGCACTCCCAGCTCACCGTGGGTCACAGGCTGAGCATCCTTTCAGGGCAAGACAGACATAGAAGGGCTTGAGCATGTCCAGAGAAGGGAACGGAGCTGGAGAAGGGGCTGGAGCACTAGGAGTGGCTGAGGGAGCCGAGGGGGCTCAGCCTCTTATGAGGCTCAGGAATTACCTTCTCACCCTCCACAACTCCCTGACCGGAGGGTGGAGCCAGGTGGAAGTCTGTCTCTGCTCCCAGGGAACAAGCAACAGGACAGAAGGAAAGGGCCTCTGGTTGTGCTATAGAAGGTTTAGGTTAGATATTGGGGAAAATTTCCCTAAAAGTTGTACAGCTGTGACACAGGCTGCTTAGAACAGTGTTGGAGTCCCCAATCCTGGTGGGATTTAAAAGCGGTGTAGACTTGGCACTTGGGGACCACTTGGGGTGGTGGGCTCGGCAGTGCTGGGAGAACAGTTGGGCTCAGAGGGCTTTTCCAGTTTCACTGGTTCTGTGATCTTGTTTTCATGGGTGTTTGTGACCATGATCTTTCTGTTGTGCTCTTCTCACAACCCTTGCATTACCATTCAGCCAAGCCAGAGGATCAAGGGCTGGGCTGCAGCTCTGCACCTCCTGGAGTGAGTGGGGGAACACGCCCTGTGACTCTGGGAACTCCCCACGCCACACACTTGAGATGTTTGTTTTGGGGTGCTGGTCTGGTGGGCGCTGGTCTGGTGGGTGCTGGATTTTGTCTGCCTTGGTCAGAGGATGCTCTGAGATAGGGAGGGAACTGAGGGGGAGTAATGATCCTCCAGTGGGAGCCACTGTCTCGTGTCTCTGCAGCAACATCATTGACGTGTCGGCAGCGGATTCCCAGGGCATGGAGCAGCATGAGTACATGGACAGAGCCAGGCAGTACAGGTGGGACCTGCACTTCTCCCCTGGGGTGCCCGCAGTCCTTCACAGCTGTGTGTGTCCCTGGGCAGGTCCCTGGGATTTTGGCCTGGGGGAGTGAACTCGGCATGTGGAATGGCTGCCTCATCTCAGAAAGCAGGGTGCAGCCTGCTCAGGGAGAGCTGATGGCAGTGCAGGCAGCAGAGCCCAGGACAAAGGGCTCCTGTGCTCACCCAGCCCTTGGGGCAGATGGTGGGGGGCTGGATGTGGCTGCTTCTGCTTGAAAGGTCCCTGTGTGGGAGAGCTGGAAGCTCCCTCATCCTTCTGGTGTAGGGAGTGGAGAGGGCTGGATGCTGGGAGTGCAGCACCACTGCTCTCCCTTTCTCCTCCTGGGGGTGCTGGATGCCTGGGGGTGCAGCACCCATCTTCTGGATGTCCCCATGTCTTGGCATGGCACTGATGTTCGCTGCTCTTCCCTGACAGCACACGCCTGGCCATGCTCAGCAACAACCTGACGCACTGGAAGAAGCTCCCACTGCTGCCATCTCTGACTAACCAACCACACCAAGTGCTCGCCAGCGACCCTGTTCCCTTTGCAGACCTGCAGCAGGTGAGCAGGGCTGGGCTGAGCCCTGAGCCCTTGCCATGCTCCCCAGAGACATATCCTCATCCTGGAGGAGCAGTAATGCCCAGAGCCCTGACATGACTTTTTAGAGCTGAGGGCAAAGCCTAGGTCAGGTTTAAGGCCTTGTTAGAGGTGGGAGGAAAGCCCAGGATGGGCTTTGGGACTCCTTAGGACTGGAGGCTAACTTCCTGCAACAGTTTCTTTGAGATAACTGGTTGCCTTGCACAGGGACAAGCACAAAGGGAACAGCCAGTGTGAGGAGGCCCTGGTGTGGGTCAGCACCATGTGCCAGGTCACCAGGATGGGTGGGCTGGAGCCAGCCAGATGTGATGCTCTGCATGGGGCCTGGTGGCTCCAACACCATCCCTTCTCCTTTTTACATGTTTAGACCTTTGTTTTGTTTTGTTTTGTTTTCGTTCTTTTTTTTTAATTATTATTTTTTGCCACAGTAGATAAAGCCACGTTCATCCAGTGCCTGTTTCCACTGTTCTCTGTCGGACACAGCATGGATGTGATGGGAGAGCCATACTCTGGTGGGGGGTACACACATCTGTCTGACCCCTGTCACCTCTTTGATCATGTCCTGCAGGGCCAAGAGGACAAGGGGACAGGGAATGTATGATGACCCACCTTTAAGGGGAAGGAGGCCCCTGAGATTCCTCAATGCTCAAGGTCGAAAGGAATGTCAAAAGTCAGGGTTTGCAAGTAATCAGAAAGTTTCATTAGTAAATTACACACTTGGCATAGAAATTGCAGGGTACCTTTTCATGGATAGGTTTCCCCAGCCTGAAGATGGATTTCTCATTTTCTATGCAGATTAGTTACCATGCGCAATTTGTTCTTTCAGGTCTTCCTGGAAATGGGTCAGAGGGGTTTAGGGGTCTTTGGTCATCTTAATCCTACCCTATAGTCCATGCCCACTTCCTGCCACTCATCCCTGTGCTTATGCTGTGCTGTCTTGTGCTTATCAGCAGGAACTACAACAAGGATGTTTCTCCACCTTGCCTCCCTCTTCAGCCATATCTTTTTCTTTCTCATGGCGTGTTAATATCAACAGTCCTTGCTTACTGCCAACAGTCCTTGCTTGATTCCGCAGCCATCCAGTTATCTGTGTTTGAGACACACACATTAGCTCTCCTATGTTCTGGGAATAGAATGCTCAGTGAGACTTACTTTGGACTGCGGTTTATAGGGTCATTAGAGAGTGGACTTGAGTATGCATTAGCCCTTTATAACTGAGAGCTCAAAAGGTCTCACTTTGGATTGCTGTCTAGAAGGACTCAAGAGAGTAGGCTTTAGTCATGGTAATTTTCCGTCCTGGCCACAATTTGAGTTGGTTGAAGGTTCAACAGCAAAAATACTGTTTGACTTGGGTTGTTACTCAGGCAAGAAAAATAAGTTTCCGAGTCTGTTCATTAAAAAACAGATGCTCGATAAACATCTGTTAGTTCCTTGGAACAGATTATATCCAGTAAGCTCAAGAGGGGCTTAGTCTGGGTGCTCTTTGTGAAGGCCAAGGCCTAACAAGCATTTCTCAGGTCTTGGTGGGGCCTGGGCAGTGGTAGGGACATGAGCCACCACCATCCAGTCCACGACTAAACTTATCCGGGCCTCTACAGGATGAAATAGGGCTGTGGCCACTGGGACAAGCGCAGGACCCCCCAAGTGAGACGAGGCCCCACTAGTAGGTCTGACAGGTTTGGGGGCTGGTGAGGACTCCTGCCTAGCCGGCACTGCAGGACAGAGTGGGCTGTCTGCACGTGACATACCGCCAGAGTCCCCCCCGTGTCCCCTGACTCACTGTGGGCTCCAGTACTCCGTGTGGCCCCACACAACCCCCTCCACGTGTCACACAACCTCCCCTCATGTGTCCTCACCTCTGACTGGGGACTCGAGACCCGCACTCCCGCACACCCCCGTGTTCCCATCTGTGTCACTACACCTTCACGGGTGGGCCCTGCCTGTGTTCCCCTTGGCCCCAGGCAGCCCTATAACCTCCCCCCTCCCCCGACACTAGAGCTTCCCTCGCTTGGGCTATTGCGTGTGTCCCCCGGGTAGCCCACGGCCCCGCGTGCGTGCCGGGGCCCGGCAGGGCGCCCTCCGCCGCAGTCCGGTGTGAGTGCCGGACCCCGCGGTCCGCCCGCCCGCGTGACGCCCCCGGCCCGGCGGTGCCCAATGGGCAGCAGCGAGGGCGGGCGCTGCCGTTCGAATAAGAGCGGCCGCCGCCGTTCGAGTACGCGCGGCCGTGGTCCGCGCCCTGACGGCTTCGGTGGTGTAGAGGGCCGTCAGTACGGGCTGGAGCCCCGGTGACGCTGAAGAAGGACACGATCCCCAGCTACGATCACGGTACGGGGAAAGCTGAGATCACCCGCGGGGCGGGCCCCGGTGGTTCCTCGGCGGGGGCCCAGGGCCGCAGAGCGCGGCTGTGCCAGAGGTGGGCAAGGCGCGGAACCCTCGGGCGGGCGGGGCACGCCTGTGGCATTGCCTCCGTCTCGGGCCAAGCTCAGCTGCGTCCCCGACCCTAAGGACGGGGCGGTCGCGGCTGGAGCGCTGAGGCTCGGGGCTTTCTTCGTTTCTCGGGGCTTGGCAAAGTCGGAACCTTCGCCAGCGGCAGTCGGCGGCCGCGTTCCTTGCGAGTTCCTCTGCTGCCCCCAGCGCCGGTTTGAAAGAACCTTCTCCTTGTGCCCTTCCTGTGCCGTGCTCGGGGCAGCCCCATCCTGCGGCCCTGATCCTCCTCAGGCAGCCCGGGCGCTGCGGAGATGACTTCCGAGAGTCTCCGGAACAGCAGCGAGGGGTGAGCTTCCCTTCCTCGTCCGAGGCCTCCCTGGTCTAGCTGGTGACCCGTAGGGTCCGGTTCCCGTTGAATCTGTGGCCGCGGGGTGTGTGCGTATCGGGGGTAGTTTTTCAGGGGTCAGCTGGGATGTAACTCCAGCCAGGTTAGAGGGAGACGTAGCATCGGGAGCCATTCTCTGCCGAGCCCCGGCTTCCCTGAGCTGCGCTGGGGCCGGGAGCGGGTCTGTGCCGGCCCCACCGGCACTCCGTCACTGGGCCTGGGCAGGGTGACGGCAGTCCAGGGTCGGACGATTCCGCTCCCCATGGCGAGCGCCGGACGTTTGCGTAACGCCGAGTTGTGACCGGAGCGGCGGGGGAAGGAGGGGAAGGACAATGCTGCCGCGACCGCCGCCACCGCCGGGACTCGTTCCCCGGTTCCCACCGCCTTCCTGCAGCTGCTCTCTTCGGGGATGCAGCTGGAAGGCGCTCACGGCCGCTGGCGGGCTCCCCGACCACTTCCCGCCTGCCATACGAATGAAACGTCCTCGCGGCGGGTCGTGGCGTTGTCTCAGACGCTAAGGGTGGCAACTGTCACCAGTGTCACATCCAGGCTGTGATCGCGGCAGGAGCGGGTAGCCTTGCCCGTCCAGATCTCACACCAGGCACCCGTGTGTTTGCAGACTGGTTCTGGTAAAACCCGGCTCGATGCTGGTGGGACACGGTTCTCTCTGAGGGTCTGCATCCAGTGCTGCACGAGTGCTTTGCCCGGTGCCTTTGGGTGGATTTTTAGGGAGAGGTCTTGGCTGTGCCACCGGGGGGAGGGACACTAGTTGCTGAGTGACCCAGCCATGGGACAGGGAGCTGGGTTTTAGCCAAATTGAGGGAGGACCTGTCCTGCTGAGGATCCCGTGCTTTCCAGCTGGACTGACGGCAGTGGGAGCTCTGTAGTCCCCAAAACCACCGTGACTGGTTGAGCACTGCAGATCCCAACCAGGCTCCTGGCCCATCGTGGTGCGGGTGTCCAGGTGCAATACAGGGTGAGGAGCCCCCTCCTCATCTGGGTGACTTTTTGGCTCCCAGCAGTCCCCTCCCCTGGGACACTACCAGGGTGGCACTGGGGGCAGCCAGTGTGGAGGCAAAGGTTGCTGTGAAGGGGACCTGGCAGTGATCCCAGATCCCGTCAGGGCAGCTCATCCCTGCTCCCATCCAATGCAGCGATGCCCAGCGAGCTACCTGTGCCCCCGGCACGTGGTTCTTTCACTAGCAGCAATGGGAAGGGGAGCTGGCAGCGCTTCAATGGCTTGGCCACTGCCTTGCTGGGCAAGAAGTGTTAGTGACATTTGGAGGCGAGGGAGGAAGGCACAGCAGGAAGGAGAATAAGGAGCCTGAGAAGCAGTTTTCCATTGATCCCTTGTCAGGATCCTAATCTGTGGGAATGGACCTGGCTGCTGCTCAGCATTGCTCCCCACTCTGAGCCTGTGGGCAAGCAGGAGGATGCTGGCTGCTCCCGCATAGCTGACCACATGCAGAGACACATCCTTCCTTGGTGGCACAAATGCCTGGTGCTGGGTGCAAGTAATTTAGTAACATAATTACAATAGTTTACCTTTTTTATCCCCCCTCCCCCTTTGTTGGTGTTTCTAGGTCTGGGCAGGAACCTAACAGACTGGCCACAATGTCTGTTCATGGCGCAAGGGTTGCTGCTCTCCTTGCTTGGGTAAGTCCCCCCTCCTTGCTGAAGCCCACTGCATAGGTGGGACATGCTGCTGCCAGCACTGGCAGCTTTGGGGCACGATGCTGGGGCTTGTCACAGGAGGGATTGTGGCTGGGGCAGGTCCTAGGGCAGTCCAGTTCCTGCTGTTCCTGGGCAGGTGGGTGTTTGCAGGAGAAGCCTTGCTCACCCTTCCTGTTGAGCAACCAGAAATGCTGGAATGGCTTGGTCTGGTCATGGAAACTGCCTGGGAGATGGAGCTGAGCCTGAAGCAGGCAGCAGCTGTACTGCAAAGGGGTTGTTGGATCTGTCTCACAAAGCACTGGTTGTCCAAGTGAAAACTCATAGAATGGTTTGGGTTAGAAGGGGCTTTTAAGCTCATTCAACTGGAATGCCCTGCCATGGGCAGGGAGACCTCCCACTAGACCAGCTTGCTCCAAACCACATCCAGCCTAGCCCTGAACACTTCCAGGGATAGGGCAGCCATGGCTTCTCTGGACAACCCTCACAGGGAAAAATTTCTTCCCAATATCCCATCTAACCCTGCCCTCTGTCAGTGGGAAGCCAATCCCTCTTGTTCTGTCACTCCAGGCCTTTATCCAAAGTCCCTTTCCCACTCTTTTGGAGCCCCTTTAGGCACTGGCAGGGGCTCTAAGGTCTCCCTGGAGCCTTCTCTTCTCCAGGCTGAACACCCCAGATCTCTCAGCCTCTCCAGGGAAGAGGGGTCCAGCAGTGTGATAAATGGGACCTATGCCAGACTCCCAGAGGTGAAGCTGTGGGGATCATGTTCATCTGTTCCCTGGGCAGGGGTGGTTTAAAGGGGTAGTTTTACTTTCACCCCCAGACCAGTCTTGCTGTCCCCTGCCAGGACTGGAGATGGTGAGTGGCACAGCACAGTTTTGTCTTGGTTTCTGACTGTCCCACCCCATTTCTAGGTGAACAGCACAAAGATTTGTCCTGATCCCCTCAGTGATCTATCCCAGCTCCAGGACTGTAGTGTCTTCATCAGAATTATCCACAAAATGTGAGTATGGGGAGCTGTGTACACATTTCAAACCACGCAGCTGGGTCTGTGCTGTCCCTGGAGCCTTGGCCTTGGCCCCCAGGAGCTAAGAGGCTCCTGTCTTGGGCAGGGTGGGAGTGGGGCTCCTGGGGTATTTACTCCTCCTCTGGAATATGAGATGCTGGGATCTCTTCTCATCTGTGCCACTGCACAGCTGGGGTCTGCTTGCAGGGCTGTTGGGTCCCACAGAGCTGCCCAGGGAATGTTTTGGTCAGAGTTCCTTAGTCATTTGAGACTTGTTATCACATCTGGCATTTAACATCCGGGTTCACTCCTGGCACTGAAGAAAAGACCTGAGTGCTGCTGCCAGTGGCACAGGGGTTCCTGCAGCCACGCAGGAGATTATCCATTTCTCTTTATGCTGCTCTGGTGAGGGAACAGCCCAGCAAGTTTTCCTGAGTGGCAGTCTTGGGATCCTGAGAAAACTTTGTATCTGGAAAGCAGTGTAAAGAATGACAGTTTCTGCCCCATGAAGTGCTTCTGTTGCCTGGAGATGTCAGGCTGCTGCTGAGTATAGTGTGGTCAGGATGGAGCCTGTTTGCTCCATCCTGGGACCTGAGGTGGCTGGGCAGGGTTGGGAGGAATGCCTCCTACAGGAATTGTGTTTGTTGCCTGGGAGCAAGGGGCAACTAAAATCTACAGGCCATAATGGGCATCAGAGGTGGGACAAATCCTGGTGGTTAAGGAGCTGGCAAAACAAATTGAGAGGGTGTGAGGCTGCCATGCATTGCTTTCAAACCCTTCCGGTGGGAGGCTCACTGGGAGCCTGTCTACTATAATTACCTCCTGTGTGGGGTAAGGAGAGCCTGCCTGGAGCAGGGATCTGCCTGCAGTGGGTGGGGAGGAAGGAGCTGACGGCACAGCAGATATATTTAGTCAGACCTGGTTAATCTCCTGGGTCTGTGCTCCAGCTCGGATTAATAGGGATCCTGGTGGCACATGCTCTCTGAAGAGGCCTGGCCATTGCTTGATAAAGTGGGGTGGCAGCAGGGCAGCTGCCACAGCAGCTGGCTGATCTGAAGAGCTCCCGGTGGCACAAAGGGAAGTCCGTGAGGAGGAACAAATCCTCACGGCAGCCCCTGTCCCAGGCCAGGTTCCTGCTTTTGACACCTTGGGAGTAAATGACAGTACTGGTCAAGCATGATTGGTGTGAGTTTTGGGCATGCCATTTCTGAGCTGCAGTTAGGTTCAATAACCCTTGTGAGTCCTTTCCAACTCAGGATATTCCATGAACTGATCACTGCTCAGGAAGAGTGTAGTCAAAAATAAATGCAAGAGGAAGCTTCAGCCTCCCCAAAATCCAGCAAGAAAAGCCCCAGGCTCCATGCACGGACTGGCCCCTGTGGTGCTTCCTGGCCAGTGGGGCCACCACAAGCTCCCTGTGCTATGCTGGATGCCAGGGCTGGCAGGCAGAATAGGAAGCAGTGCCAGGGGGTGTCGGCTGCCCGGCTCCAGCTGCTCTCCTGGCAGGGGGATTCTGAGGGATTCCACTTCTGTGCGTTGTGTGGTTGGTCCTGGCTCTGCTGGCCCTGGTGTGGGGGCAGAAGGCAGAGCAGCGCCCTAGAGCCAGCCCCTGGCTCAGCAAACCCTGCTGCACAAAACTCAGCAGCGTTGGTCTAATCCCTCCAGAAGGAGTTAATGCAAACCCTGCACTCTTGCAGCCACGGGAGCAAGGAGGGGGAGTCCGTGCTGGAGCAGCCACTGCCAGAGAGGATCTCCTTCATCCATGGTTTCCTGCAGAGTAAGACCCTTCGCTGTGCTGGGGAAAGCGACTGCCCCTGCTTGGTGCCCCTGACCTCTGAGAGAGTCTGGTCTGCTGTCTGCAGCTTCCCTCTCCACAAAGTGACCCCCTCACCCCACATCAACACCTTTGTGAGGTGCCAGCAGCTTTCCTGCAGCAGCTGTGGAAGGGGAAACTTCCAGATGGAAATCCTTACCAGAGCCCAGGTTCAGAGCAAAGGAGGTCCTGGGTGTGAAAGGCAGAGTGCCAGTGGCTGCTCTTGTGATGCTGTCTGGAGCAGTTTTCCTAGTTGGGTACCTGGAGTAAAGCTCTTCAAATCCTAGCTGAAAACCTTTACCTAAGCAGAAATCCTGGCAGGGGAAATGGGAAGTTTCTCACACTCATGCTCAGCCTTTCCTGGAGGGAAGACACCATATCCCACCCAGAGATGGAGCTCTCTGTTTGTCCTGATGTTGGAGGAGAGGTGCCAAGGTGGGGAGGCTGGGATTTAGGGTGGGGTTCCAGGGAGGGGAATGAAAGTCGGTCAGAGTTAATGGCCAAGGCTGACCACTGGGATCTCAGCTCTGGAGCTCATCCTGCCCCATGTCCATTCTCCCTGGGGATGCATTACAGTTCCCTTGTGGCCATGAGTGTCACCTCAGGGGAGGCAGTGTGCCCAGTGGCTCCTATGTGACTGGGAATTCCGCTTCATGTTGCAGAGCACTGCCGGCACAAATTGGCTGCAGAAAACCTTGTCTCTGCACAGAAACTCCTGGATGGAGAGGAGCTGGCTCTGGCCAAGGTAACTGTGTGGCATGTTTTAGTCCCAGATGGCACCAATGTGCTTGTGACTGGCCTGGGATTAGTCATGCTTTTCCTGCCTTGCTCAGGTGGCCGTGCTGCTCCTGTATCACACCGCCATGAGTTCCAAGAACTCTGGGGACTGGAAGGAATTTGACTACAAGACCCAGGTAATCCCTCTGGGGTTCCTCCTCTGGATCTGAGGTGCAGGGGGAAGCAGTGGTTCCTTTGGGGGAAAGTGCTCTGAGACTTGCCCTCCTGGGTCTCATTGAAAGATGGTGTGGAGTGGGCACTGTGGTGCTCACTGGTGGTTTTGGGCTTTCCAAAGCTTGTGGCAGGCAAGTGTGGGCAGCGGCACAGGCAGGCAGGGAGCTGCCCACCGCCCCACGCCTGCTGTGGTGCTGCCTGTGACCTGCAGCAGAGCCACTAACTCTGCAGCTCTTCCAACACAGGTTGAACTAGCATCAATTGTCAAATTTGTGCTGGATAACGAGGAGTGCCTGAATGAGAATCTGGAGTCTTTTCTGCAGAGGAAAAGTAAGTGCTGGGCCCTGGCTTTTCCTTCTGTTTGTGCTGCTGTAGCTGCCCAGCCATAAAGGCAGCTGCACAACCCAGATGCGGTCAGCTACAAAACAGTCCCCTGTAAACTCCAAGAGTAGGGCTACCTTAGATCTGCTGGCTCTTCCCACTCAACAGTACCTCAGCCTTTCCCTGGAGGAGAGGAGCAGGTGGGATGCTGACAGTCTTGTGGGAGCAGAGTTGCTGGGGAAGGACTGTGGAGCAGGAGGGATGGGGATGTAGGGCAGGTTTATGGCTTCCTCAGTTGGCTGTTCCATCCCTACTGGAATTTGCGGTTCCTGTGCCTCTGAGATTTCAGCTGCTCAGCCTCTTAGATATTGAAGATCACAGCCTTCTTCTCCCTTTTTGTTTCCAGCAGAGGCATCCTTGTCCAGTGTGTTCAGCAGCAGCTCTGAGGAGCATTCCCCACTGGTCTCTCTCCCGCACAAGCGAGAGGTGCATTTCCTGGAGCTGCAGAGGATTGCCTCCTTCCCCAGCACCAAGTATGTGCCCTGCCTCCTGGCTGCCAGGGGAAATGAAGAAAGGGAGGAGTGGGTAGGGCAGGTTTTGGGACCCACAGATGTAGCCAGGCTGCATGCTGACTCCCCGGAATGCCCTGTTCTGCCTTGGTGCTCTCCTGCTGCATGTTGCTCGGGCATGATATGGGTATGGATGATGGAGGTGAGCTTGGGCTTTAGCTCCTTTTAGAACCATGGAGTCGTTCAGGTTGGAAAAGCCCTCTGAGACCATCGAGTCCAACTGTGCCCTCGGCACGGCCAAGGCCACCACTAAACCATGTCTCCAAATGGAGGCATTTTTCCATATTTGCCCCTGGAGGCCTCCAATGAAAGACCAGCTTTTATATTACCTCCTTTATTGAAATTGTTTTGTATGTGTGTTGGTTTGTCCCTAGATTTTTAATGCAGCAGTTCCTTGGGGATCTAGGCAGGAGAACCTGCCCCAGAGATGGGAGTAGCAGAGTAGGTCTGGCTGCATGGGGCCTGTGCTGGCTCGGGATAATCCAGCTTGTGTGTGTGTCTCCCTGCAGCCTGCCCAGCACTCCATCTTCGCCCATGGGGGACATCATGCAGACCCCCCAGTTTCAGCTGCGGCGGCTGAAGGAGCAGCTGGCTTTTGAGAGAAAGAAACAGGAGGAGTTGGAGGAGGAGGTGGTGGAGAATCACAAGCTCATCATGGAGAAGGGTCAGTCCAGGACATCCTGGGGTGCAGGGAGGGCTCTGTGGGGCAGAGATCTCCCCTTGTTTCTCTGTTTTTCTGTTGTGACCCCACCAAAACTCTGCTCATGCATGGTCCATCCTGCCATGCCACAAGTGAGACTCCAGGTTCCTTCTTCCATCTTGTATTCCCTTATATATGCTGGGCAACAAAAGCCATGACTGAAGCAACACCTATGCTGAGCAGTAGCACTGGTAGCCTGGCTCTGATCTCCTGCTGCAGAGAGTTTCTGTGCAGAAATGCTGTTGTGGGGGCTTCAGGTGACATGAAGACTTGGTAACAAGCCCTTTCTTGCCCCCTTCCCCAGATGCTCAGATCACCACAATGCAGCAGCGGATTGATCGCTTGGTAAAGCTCAGTGAGAAGCAAACTGAAGACCGGCTGGAGCCCAAAGAAATGGAGGAGCTGAGGGAGAAGAATGAGAGGTAATCCTCCAGGAACATCTACTCCTTCCTCCTAGGTGGGACCTTGTCACTCCCACATCCCCAGACTCTATGTTGTCTGTCTCTTGTCTAGCAGTGCATGAAACAGGGGAGAAAGCAAACCTTCTTGTTCCTCTGCTGCTGGGGAGAAGACACCAGGCATAGAATCAGAAAAGGGTCTGGGTTGGAAGGGAACTTAAAGCTCATTCAGCTGGAATGCCCTGCCATGGGCAGGGACACTTTCCACTAGACCAGGTTGCTCCAAGCCTCCTCCTGCCTGGCCTTGAATACTTCCAGAGATGGGGCAGCCACAGCTTCTCTAGACAACCTGTTCCAGGGCTTCACCACCCACTCAAGGAAGAATTTCTGCTCAATAGCCGATCTAACCCTGTCCTTTGTCAGTGGGAGACTGTCACTGTCACTCCAGACTCTTGTCCAAATTCCCTCTCTGGCTGTCTTGGAGCCCCTTTAGGTGCTGGAAGGTGCTCTGTGATGTCCCTAGAGCCTTCTCAACTCCAGGCTGAACACCCCCAGGTTTCTCCCAGTCTGTCTCCAGAGCAGAGGGGCTCCAGCAGCCCTTGGAGCATCTCCTCTGGACTTGCCCCTGCAGCTCCACTTCCTTGTGATACTGAGGACCCCAGAGCCGGAGGCAGCTCTGCAGATGGGGTCCCACCAGAGAGGAGCAGAATCCCCTGCTCCCTTGTTGTCCGCGCTGTGGGATCAGCCCATGATACAGCTGTGCTGCCATCATGCTGCCCATGCCCTCAGGGCAGTTATGGCCTGCAGCCCATTTTTATTGCAGTGGGCATGGATCCAGTCCCAAACCATGCAGCCTGTTCTAACAGCCGACTTAGCTCAAACCCTGCATGGGAGCAGCTATTCCTGTTATGTGAAAAGAGTGAGCTGACCTTGTGGGTCTCACCTGCCCTGGAAAAGGAGAAGCTTTTAGGGTGATCCTGGAACTCCTGACTCCAGCCCATTTCCCAGGCCTTTACTTTGATCCCATGTACTAGGCTTTGTCACACACTTGAAATCACCTGTCACACTGGATCCTGGTCTTTGCTCTTTCCCTGTGCCATTGTTTACTCAGGAAAGCTGCCCAATGTCCACTGGAAGTGCCATGTCTTTTTTTGTCCTTTCCTCACTTATTTCCCTTTGCAGGGCCATGGCTGGAGTCCCACAGCTGCCTCTGCTCTCAGTTTGGAGCAGTTGGGTTGTGCAAAGCACAAACATTGCTTATCTCTACTCTGTTTTGCCACCTATCGCGACCCAGTTTTAGAGCTGGGTTGATGGTAGAGTCACAGCAAGGCATGGAGATCCCTTGGAACCTTTAGTTTCCGTGGCAAAATCCAGCAGCACCAATCCCTGGTGATATCCTTGCCTGCTGCCAGCATGCACCGCCTCCTTAACCATCTCCTTTCCCACAGCCTGGTGGGGCGCCTGCACGAGGCCTTCAGGCAGTGCCAGGACCTGAAGACTGAAAAAGCCCAGATGGACCGAAAAATCAACCAGCTCTCCGAGGAGAATGGGGATCTTTCCTTCAAGGTATGGGGTGCAGTGTCCTCTCCATGTCCCCACAGCCCAATTGCTTGTGATGGAGCCCGGCAGGAGGATTTGATGGCAGTGCTGGATGCTGGGATGTTTATGGTTCTGCTAATGCAATCTTTGACCCAGTGACCAAGCCTGCCTTGGGCTCTGGATCCTGATCCAAATAGGAACTCTGGTGGGGGAATGGGGGCTGGGTGGAGCTGCCTGCATGTGGTGAACACCCAGAACCCAGGATGCCCATGTGTGCTGCAGCTCTTGGGAATGGGGAGTAGGCAGAGCCCTGAACAGCACAGGCACACTCTGCCTCTCTTCTGGACTGGGTGGATTTTCACTTGGCAGCTGCGGGAGATTGCCAGCAATATGGTCCAGCTGCAACGAGCCCTGAATGAGCTCTCAGAGGAGCACAACACTGCCATGGCACAGTCGCAGGAAAAGCAGCGACAGCTGGAGAAGGAGTTGCATGCAGCCCTGCAGGATAAGGTCAGCGGGCCTGGGGAGTGGTGGGTGCCCCCCTATAGCTCCCCCATAGCCCCCTCCCAGCTGGGGGAGATGCCAACTGCAAGCAGGGTGCAGTGGCCAGGAGCCTCCTGCCCATTTTTGCCAGCACACAGGGAGAAGCCGTGTAACTGTCAGCTCCTGTGGGAAGCCTCTCCCTGTTCCTAGATAGGGTTCCCCATGGTGGGACAGGCTGCTGTCCTCGTAGTGGGGAGAGATAAAGCTGCTGGAAAAGCATGATGTCAGTACTGAGTGGGTGACTGTGCCTCTCCTTGCTTGGTTGGCTCTTCTGTCTTGCACGATGCTCAGTCTCATCTGTGTCCCCAGAAATGCTCAGAAGAGAAAATCGAGATTCTACAGGGAAAGATTTCTGTGCTGGAGGACCAGTTGGCCAAGCTGGAGGAGTGCAGCACCCAGGAGAAGGGAGAAGTCATGGGGGACATTTTGAAGGTACATTGGGGCTCCTGCAGCAAGGGCTTGAATAGTAAACTACTCCAGTTGGAGAGTGCAAATTTTTGGGCTGAATTTGCAAATACTGCTGCCAGGGAGCTGGTGGCTTCCCCAGCCTCCCACAACATTAACTGGTTGTGAAGACAGCATCTCCTGCATGGTGAAAAGAAGGTGTTGGGTCCAAGGGAGCAGACTGGCACAAGGCGGAGGGGAAAGCAAGGTGCCCTGGGGGTGTGATGGGAGGGAACGCAGGCACTGGGTAGCTCCCAGTGGGATGCAGCACGTGGGGCTCTGGTGAGCATGTTGGCTACAGCTTGAGTAATAGGGGGTGTATGTTTTGTCCCTGTAGTAGTCTGACCTTGGCTGGGCACCAGGTGCCCACCAAGCTCCGCTATCACTCCCCTTCCCAGCAGGACAGGGGAGAGAAAAATAAGATGGAAGAGAACTAGTAGGTTGAGATAAGGCACTTTACTAAAGGAAAAAAGGAAAAGTGAAAATTTATGTATGCATAAGCAAAGAGAAAAGCTAATCTCTACTTCCCATCAGCGAGTGATGTTTAGGCACTTCCTGGGAAGCAGGGCTTCAGCACATGTAGTGGTTGCTCCAGAAGGCAAACACTAAAATAGTGACTGCCCTCCATTCCTCCAACCTCCCTTGGCTTTTATATCTGAGCTGACATCATATGGTGTGGAATATCCCTTTGGTTAATTTGTGTCAGTTGGCCTCATTGTGCCCACTCCCAGACCCTTGCTGGGGGGGCTGGGGTGGGGGTGGTGGTGTGTGCTAAGAGTTCATTTTCCCTTGGGAGCTTTCACAGTGCTGTGCTTTGCATGGGTAGCTGGAAAGGCGTTGATAACACACCAGTGTTTTGGGTACTGCTGAGCAGCACTATCTTTCTGTCTCAGTCAGACCCAATACAGTCTCCCTGCTCTTCTGTTTGCCAGCTGGAGGAGCTGAAGCAGGAAGTTTCCAGCCTCACCGCCAAAGGACTGGAGCTGGAGGAGGAGAAGCGGCAGCTGGCCAGCCTTGTCACCAGCCTCCAGAACTCCCTCTCTGAGAGCCACTGGGCCCAAGAGAGACTGAAGCGAGACCTGCCGGCACAGGCTGCCGAGGGCCACGCTGAGCGGCTGGCTGCCCTCAGCGTCCAGCATGAGCAGGCCCTGAGGGAAAGGGACTCTGCCCTGCAGCAGCTCCAGCAGGCCAACACATCCCTTCGCAGCCAGCTGCAGACTGTGGATGAAGAGAAGGCTGCACTGAGCCGCAAGGTCGGTGAACTGGAAGCCCAGATCCTGGAGCTGGGTGCCCAGCAGCAGCAGGGAGTGGCAGCAGAGGCACTGAAAACCCAGCTGCAGGAGCTGGAGGGCAAACTAAAGGAGAGCCAACAGAGGCTGGCTGAGAGGGAGAAGCTGGCCCGGGAGAACAGCCGCTTGCAGGAGCAGCTGCTCTTCCTGGAGGAATCCCTGCGGAACACTGAGGGTATATTGGAGGATGAGAAGAGACGGGCAGCCGAGTGCCTGGAAGGCAACCTGGCCAGGATTGCTGAGCTGGAGGCAGAGAGACAGCAGCTGGTTCAGGGCCGGGAGCTAGCTCTTCCAGGGCAGGGCGAGGAGCTGGCCACACGCCAGTTGCCAGAGGAGAGCCAGGAGCAGCCCGTGGGAGCCTCTCCCGCTGCCCGAGGGGAGGACGAAGAGTGCAGGCGGCTGAAGGAGGAAATACAGGCGCTGAGCCGAGAGCACAGCCAGACCTGTCAGCAGCTGCAGGCTGAGCAGGAGAAGGTGGAAGCCCAGGCAGAACGGCTGGCTAGCCTCCAGGCTGACTTGTCCAGCACTCAGTCATGGGCAAAGGAGAAGGAGAGTGAGGAGCAGAGGCTGAGGGCTGAGATTTCATCCCTGCAGGAGAAGATGGCTGTGGCAGAGCAAACAGCAGCCCAGCGTGTGGCCAGGCTGGAGGCGGATGCCCAAAGAACTGCTGAGACACTGGAGGGAGTCTCCCAGCAACTGTCCCAGGAGAAGCTCAAGTCCAAGGAGTTGGAAGGCACCGTGGATCAGCTGCGGATTGCAGAGAAGGAGCTGGTGTCCCTCCGCTCTGCCATGCAGGAGAAGGAGAGCTGGAAGGAACAAGTGTCCCAGTGTGTCCAGGAGATGGAGAGGAAGAACAGCCTGATCAGCAGCCTGGAGCATGAAGTCTCCATCCTCCATCACCAGGTGACAGAGAAGGAAGGGGAGAGCAAGGAGCTGAAACGCCTGATCTTGGCTGAGTCAGAGAAGAGCAAGAAGCTGGAGGAGAGGCTGCGAGTGCTGCAGACAGAGATGGCCACCGCAGCCTCCCGTGCAGCTGAGAGGTGCTCATTGATGAAGGTGGAGGTGCAGCGGTGCCAGGAAGAGATGGAGAAGCAGCGGATGACCATTGAGGCCCTGAAGAGGGACCGCCATTGCCAGAGCGAGCGGGAGGATGAGCTGCGGCAGGAGGCAAAGGTCTGCCAGGACAAGTGCTTACAGAAGGAGCAGCTCCTGGCTGCTCTGCAGCAGGAGCTCGACAGCGCTCGGGCCAAGCATGCCTCCCTAGAAAGCCAGCACCACCAGGACCTGGAGCAGAGAGCAAAAGCTGTGTCCACGCTACAAGCCGAGCTGGCGCAGGCCAAGCTGGAGGTGGCCGAGGTGCCGTCACTGCGGGAGCAGTTGGCAGAAAAGGACCGGGCCATTCAGCAGCTGCAGGCTGATGCAGCAGAGGCTGGGACACAGCTGGCAGGGCTGCAACAGGCCAATGCTCGGCTGGCTGAGGAGAACCAGGGGCTCAGCAAGAGCCGCAGCCAAGGGCAGCGGCAGCTTGAGGCAGAACTGGGCCAGGCCAGGGAGCGGCACATGCAGGAGCTGGAGCAGTTGCGGGCAGCATCTGAGAAGCTGGTGACCAGCAGCAGGCAGGAGGCTAAGGAGGCAGTACAGAAGCTGGAGAATCTGAGTAAGGAGTATGAGAGCAGCAAAGCAGCAGCCTTGGAAGAGAGGAAGAAAATCCTGGAAGAGAGGAAGAAATTCCTGGAAGAGAGGAAGAAACTCCTGGAAGAGAGGAAGAAACTCCTGGAAGAGAAGCAGAGACTGACAAGTCAGGTAGGGGTTCCACTCCCAGCAGGAGGGATGTGAATGGGGAGCCCTCCTGGAAAAGGGATGTGTTCAGCCTTCTGCACACCCCTGAATCCATGTCCTGCTCAGCACAGGGACTAGGGGTGTGGGACACATTTCTAGGTGTGAAAGGGACTGTCACATTCAGGTGCTGGAGTGTTTCCAGAGAAGGGCAGCGATGCTGGGGAGTGATCTGGAGCATTAGTCTGATGAGCAGCAGCTAAGGGAGTTGGAAGGGGGGGCTGAGCCTAGAGAAAAGGAGGCTGGGGGAGACAGTCTCTCCCCTGAAAGGGTGAAACTGTTCCCTGAAAAGAGGATGCAGCCAGATGGGGGTGTCTCCCAGGTAACTTGTTCTCCCAATTAACAAGTGGCATGACAACAGAAAATCGTTTCAAGTTGTGCCTGGGGAGGCTTAGGTTGGATATTAGGAAAAAATTCCTTCCCTGAAAGGGTTGTCCAGCCAAGGCACAGTCTGCCCACAGCAGTGGTAGAGTCCCCATCCCTGGAGGGATTTAACAGACACGTGGATATGGATTAGTGGTGGTCTTGGCAGCACGCTCAGTCTCAGAGGGCTTTTCCAACCTAAATGACTCCATGGTTGTATGAAAAACAGCCTATGTCCCAGCTGTGCACTCCCCTCTGCCTTTTGTGTTTGCAGGTGGAGCAGTTGGAGATAATCCAGAAGGACCAAACTAAGCAGGTAACACACACCAAGAGCTGGCTGCTCAGTGACAGTGCACAGTCCTCCTTGTTTGTCACTTCCTGTTGGAGCCACCCTCTCCTCTTGTGAACTGTTCACAGTATGGACCCAGCCATAGGGCACTTGGCTCCAAGTCTCTGGGCACATCCAGGGGGTAGCAAGTGGGGTCCCATCCTGCCACCTGCTCCCTCACATTGGTGCCTGCACCTTGGCATGGCTTCTTGCACACCCCACGGCAGCACACGCAGCAAGTGGCTGCCAGGAGCATCCAGGGCTCCTCAGTGTAGGACTGGCAGTGCTGGGATGGCTTCTCCCTTCACCTTTAACCAAGGCCCAGCTGTTGGCATAACTGATAGGAACAGCTGTGCTCAGACAGCATGGTCCAGATGTGGCTAGAGCAGCATTGATTTCAGATGTGCTAGGAGTTAGCACTTGGGAAACAATGCTGGAAAAGCCACATTTCCCTGTCCAGTCCCAGCCAGAGCTGTGCAGGACTCTGCAGAGACCTTGTGGCTATGACCAGGAGGCTGAGGGCTCCTCAAGCATCCCCTGGAGCAGGCAGAGCATGGCCAGGCCAGAACTTGCAGCAGCCAGCTACCTGTGTCAAAGAGTGCTGGAAGACTTGTGGGACTCAGATTGCAAGTGCTTGGGCACTGGGAACTTAACACAGGCTTTGCTTCCAGCACATGGCTGCTCCTTAACGCTTGGGTAGTTCCATCCATCCTTGCTGTAAGGATTAACATGGGGTGACTGTCACCTTGCCATGTCCTGGGATCTTCCTTGGCAGTGGGTGATGCTGAACGGTTGCCCTGTGACAGGAAATTTCTTCGTTGTGCCCTAGAGCTGGCTAGAGAGGAGGGGCTGTGCTCCTCCACAGCAGGATTGTAGTTTTGTGCCTGGAGCTCATCTCATCAAGCCATGTTCTTTCTTCCAGGTGGATGAGCTGAATAAAAAGCTGACTCAGCATGAGAAGGCCACCCGGACCCAGCAGCAGAGAGTTAAAGTAAAGAGGGGGCTGGGTCCTGGAGCTGGGGGCTGGGTCCTGGAGCTGTTGGTGCTGCCAGGGGGCTCACCTGGGTTGCCTCTAAGCCAGTCTCTTCCCTGCCCACAGGCACTCGAAGGGGAGCTGCAGGCAGCGGTCACAAGCCATCAGGAGAAGATGGCAGAGCTGCAGGTGCAGCTCACCCAGAAGGAGCAGGCAGCTGAGCACTACAAAGGGCAGGTATGCTGGGGGCTAGTATGGCCATGCCGTGCCTGACACTGCTGGGAAGCTTGACAGGATTCCTCTGCTTTATATTCTAGATGGAGAAGGCAAAAAGTCATTATGATGCCAAGAAGCAGCAGAACCAGGAGCTATCAGAGAAGCTGAAGGCCATGGAGCACCTGCAGAAAGAGAACACGGAGCTTCGGAGCAAATCGGAGAGGCTGGCCAAGGAGCTACAGCAGAGCATCCTGCAGGCCAAGGAGTCTGAGATGAGCTGCAAGAATCTTACCAGCCAGATCCACAGCCTGGAAGCTCAGGTGGGTATGGCATAGTTGAGCTTCACCCTCCTTGTCCTCGCTTCCATCACCACCTCACTTGGAGGATAGATCCATCCATTCCTCCCTGCTTCCCATTCAGGTGGTGGTTTCCAAATGGCAGGTGCAGGAACTCAGAAAGTTCCAGGTGATGACTGCCACAGTAAAGGTACCATTGACAGAGGGCAGGGTTAGATGGGATATTGGGAAGAAATTCTTCCCTGTGAGGTTGGTGAGGCCCTGGCACAGGTTGCCCAGAGAAGCTGTGGCTGACCCATGCCTGGAAGTGTTCAAGGCCAGACTGGATGCAGCTTAGAGCAACCAGATCTAGTGGAAGGTGTCCCAGCCAAGGGAAGGACGTGAGCTTTAAGGTCCATTCAACCTAAACCCATCTGTGGATTTTTCTCTCCCAGAAACAGGCAGAGTCTGAGGAACTGGTCTGCATCAAGAACATCCCATTGGCTCAGTCCACAAAAACATCTTCCCCTGCTAAGGGCCGCCTGCACTCAGGTGCCTCCACCCGTTCCCTCACCAGCTTCTGCTCCCAGGAAACTCTTGAAAAGCTGGAAGTCTCCTCTGCAGAGACGACCCCTGGCACTTCAGGCCTCCCTGGGTACCGACCAGCCACCCGTAGCTCCCTGCGCTTGCAGCAGACCAGCAGCTCCAGCCTCGGTGTGTGTGGGCACTTGAACTGCTGGCTGTGGGTTTCTGCCCTGGCTTGGGGGAGTCAGGTCTTACCTGGAAGCCCCCTCATCCTTCCTTGCTTCGGATTTAGGCCAGAGCACCACGAAGCTGGGCATGTGCCAGGATGAGCCGGAGCAACTGGATGACTGGAACCGCATTGCAGAGCTGCAGCGGAGGAACCAGGCCTGCCCCCCCCACCTGAAGACCAGCTACCCCCTAGAGAGCATGGTAAGGGGCGGGAGGGGGAGGTCAGGCAGCGCTTTGCCCATATCTGGAGTTTGGGAGGGGGTCTGGCAATGGACAGCGCCCTTCAGCAACATCCCCACATCCCCTCCCCAGCCCTCCACCTCCTCTGGAACCATCACGGATGAGGATGTGAAGATGGGGGACCCAGAAGAGACGCTGCAACGTGGCAGCGGGCAGCCCTCCCAGGCCATCTCCACCGGCAGCCAGCGCAGCACCCAGGCCCCCAGCAGCATCACTACCCGGCAGAGGAAGCGCCTCTCGGAGGAGAGCCACCAGAGCCCTGACACCCCCCCGGTGAGCTCAGTTCCCCATCACAGCACCCTGCTGGGAACAAGAGGTTTCCACATTTTGAGGGAGCTGCTGTGGCCCTGTGAGTAACACCCCCATTTGCCACACGTTCCCACTGATCCCGGATTCCAGTGCCCAGTATTCCCAGCATCCAGTGGTGTGTCTAGTATTCGGGATGCTCCCAGTGCTGGCAAGGAGGCCATTCCAGAGGCAAAGAGCTGAGCCTTCTGCCTTCCTTGGGCACTGCTACCCTCAATCACATCCCCTCCCTGCAACCCCACAGTTCCCTCATTGCTGCCAGCCCCACAGCAGGCAGTACTAGCCGGTCCCCTTCTTTTCCAGTCCAAGAAGCGATCCAGGTGCCCACTGCCCCAGACCACCCAAGACCGCAGTGCACAGAGTGGCTCCCAAGTCAGTCAAGACAGTGAGCAGCCAGGCCCAGCCACACCAGTAAGCTTCAGAGGGGAAAAAGAGGGATCAGGAGGGACCCCTCTGTCCTGTCCCACCCTGAGCTAATGGTCCTGCCCCTCTTTTGCAGGCTCAGAGACGCCAGTCGGTGGCTTTCAGCATCAACAGCCCCAGGGTGCTGAGGAGGCACCTGCTGCGCCGGGCAGTGGCCCAGAGGGGCACTCCCACATCCTCCAGCGGCACCCGCCATTCATCCCGCATCGCCACCGCCAAGTCCCCAAAGGGCAAGGTAGGTACTGCCTGACCCCCTGGGCACACTTCTGAGCTCATGCTCGCCCCAGTGCCCGCAGCTCCTGCCTTGGGTTCATACAGGCCATGGGGAAAAGGGGGACAGTCCTGCTGTCCCTGGGGTGCTATGGCAACAGCAGGTCCCAGCATGGGGCTCAGACACGTTCACGATCCTTAACCTCCCATCTTCGCTCTGTCCTCTACAGGCCAGTCGCCAGTCGCGCAAGGACAGGCAATCCTGAGGTTTCCCCAGTCCCTGGCATTGCTGGCTCTGCCCTGGACCCCCACCTGCACCCCCTCACCTCTTCCTGTCCCCCCATGGCCCAGGAGCACTGAGGGTGAACAGGTGGGACCACCCACACGACTGCCTTGCATATCCCACTGACAACTGTAGGGATGCCCTGGGCATGGCAAGGCCCCCTTGCCCTTCCTGTACCCATTGTCATCCCAAACCCTTCTGGGACCCAAGGCAAGGGGATGCACAGAGGTTGTGGGCTGGAAACACACAGGAGTGCAGAGGAGGAGCTGAGCTGTTCCCAGGGATATTCTGCAGCCCCAGGTACAGGGACAGAGGTGAAACTTAGCATCCCTCGTGCCACTACCCTTGCTCCCTGTGTGTGGGACCCCCCCACACCTGCCCTGTCCTCCTGCTCCTCCCAGGGAAGCTGAGGCAGCATTTTTAAATGTTTCTACTTGTAAATAAAGTGTATTTTTCACCTGATCTGGGGATCCTGGCTTCCTCCTCCTACAGTCCACATGCACTGGAACCCTTACCAGGGCTTGAGAGAAGGGAAATCATGACCTCCTCCTTGCCCTATCACTGGACTACACACGGTGTCTCAAGGCAGGATGCTCACCCAAGGAGCCTGCTGTACCACCAAGCAGTCATAGTGCAGATTTCTGTCTTTCTTATTTTTCTCCTTTAACTTACTCCTCTCCAGTGGCAACTGCTGCTATTACAGTGCTTCAAACCCCACCAAACCTGGCCATGGGGCGGGAAACACCTCCATCCTCCATCACCAGCCTTGCCACAGATGTCCGGGGGCTGCAGTGTCTCTGTGCCTTTGAGTACTGCAGGTTCAGCCCTCAGGGGTGGTGACACAGGGTTTGTCCCCAGCTCTGCTGTCCTCCTGCAGGCAGTGCGGTGAGGACAGGGCCCCATGTGTCTCCCTGCAGTTGCTGGCATGCTGCTCCACCTCTGCCACACCAAAGGGCAGCTGGCAAATGGGGCAGGGCACCCAGCCATCAGGGGACAAGGAAGGCCAGGCTACAGCAGGTTCTTCTCCACACTGGGAGGCATGTGTGGGGAGCAGATTCAGCAGGAAGTGGCCTGTGGAAAGGGAAGGTGGTATGGTTGTCACAAGCTCACTAGTGTTGGGATGATATGGGGTTTGGACTGACACCCTCCCTGATGGTTCTCATGGCAGCCTGGAAATACACTGTGATGCACCTCCAGGGCACCAGCAGGAGTGATGCATCCCAGCTATGGAACTGCCACCACTATCCCCATTTGCTGCTCAGTGTCCCCTGGCTACCAGATGACACCCCTGCCAAGCACCGACCTGAGCAGATGGGGCAGACACCTGTCTCCCCATCACTGCTGGTCTGTCCTCTGTCATTCCTCCTGACTTCTCTCTCTTGGGGGCCACAGGCTCAGGCTCTTCCTTTCACCCTGGACATCCTTCAGGTGGCAGCTGGAGCCGTGCAGAGGGGTAACATGCTGGAGGTACCCTATGCTACATTCTGCCAGCCCAGAAGAGTGAAGGGCTGGGCCCAGAACTATCTGGGAAAGACCGAGAGCAGTAAACAGCCAGGGTGAGGGCAGGAGGAAGACAGTGACCCATGGGATTACCTGCCAGCAGGGCTGTGAGCACAGTGCCTGTCCAGCTGCCTGCAGGTACTCAAGGGAGCTGTAGGGACATCCAGTGCAGAGCCTGGGAAAAAGGCAGGAATGACAAACAGAGGACAGTTTGGGTTAGAGGAGATTTTAAAGCTCATCTTGTTCCAAGTCCCCCCCACCATGGGCAGGGACACTTTCCACTAGAGCAGGTAGCTCTTAACTCCTATCAAACCTGGCATTGGAACACTTCCAGGGATAGGACAACCACAGCTGCTCTGGACAACCTGTGCTGGTGTCTTACCACACTCACAGGGAACAATTTCTTTGTAATATACCACATAACCCTGCCTTCTGTCAATTTGAAGCCACTACCTCTTGTCTTGTCCTCCCAGGCCATTGTCCCTCTCCAGTTCTTTTGGAGCCCCTTTAGGCAGTGGAAGGGGCTCCCAGTTCTCAGAACCTTCTTGTCTCCAGGTTGGAGATGTTCCAGCCTGTCTCCACAGTAGAGGGGCTCCAGCCCTCAAGAGCATCTCCACAGCCTCTGGACTCACTCCAGTTGCTCCACACTCTTCTGATGCTGGGGGTCCCAGAGCTGGAGGCAGCTCTGCAGGTGGGCTCTCACCTGAGCAGAGCAGAGGGGCAGAATTCCCCCTTGCCCTGCTGCCCACAGTGGCTGGGAGCGAGCCCAGGACACAGCTGTGCAGATTCACTCACCTACCACTGCAGGAGCTCCCACATCCTTGGCCAGCAGCTCAGGTGACCCCCCAGGGTGCTCGTGCCAGCTCTGGGCCTCAGCACCTGGTTCTGTGCTGTGAACAGCACCATCCAGGCAGAGTGGTGAGGTGGGCCAGGCTCCAGGCAGCCCCTTCCAGCTTCCACAGGCAGCTCCTCAGTTGCTTCTCCTCCCTGGATCTCCTGGGGATAGGGAGTGTCAGCCATGCAGGAGGACAAAGCTGGTGGGAGCTGGGGCTCGGGTCCAAGGAAGCACCTCAAGGGGCTCCAGGCCACACTGTGCAGGGACAGGATGGGATGGAACATGTAAATCAGGCCACGTAAATGCATGATTCAGGAAAGAAAGTCCTGTGAAAGGCAGGGCTGGAGCATTAGGGTCTGTCTGAGTGCTCAGACAGACCCTAATACCCCAGAGCATCCTCCTGTGGGACAAGGAGAGGGCCCAGGCAATCAAGACAGGCTCCTTGTGCCCACCACTCTGGGCACAGCACCTAGCTCAGCCCAGCAAGCACTTCCTGAGCTTTCCATGAGGCACAAGTGGAGCCCACACATGGAGGAGCGCCCACACACGGAGGAGCAGCCCCTTCCTGCTGCCTCCCCATGGAGAGGGATACATGGAAGTGTGAGAGACACCTACTGTGTCGAGGGGTGGCCGTGGGGGGTCAGGCTCTTACCCCTGTGGTTTGCACAGGCGGATGAAGGAGAGCCCAAAGCAGCTGCATGGACCGAAGGGCTGGCTACAGGTGAGCTACAGACTGCTGCAGTTCTGGAGACAGGCACACGACTGAACACGCCAAGTTCCTGCGACAAGAGCCAAAGTTTATTGATGGGCACCCCCTTTTAAAATTGTGCTTCAAAATTCCTGCACTTGAACATTTGATTGGCTGGGGTCTTAACGCCACCCAGTTAGATATCTGTATTCATGACTGAATGGGATTGGCTGCGCTCCCCTGTTTGAGTTCAAATCCAACTTATCACTCTCTTACCCAGGGACTTGTTTGCTTCTACTCTTTAACGAGCTAGGCTGGTCAAGTTGGGGTCTATTACAGCCAATTTTAACTGTGCAGCTTCAGACCAGCTGCAGCTGTCACAGCACGTGGTGCCATGTCTGCCCCACCATCAGCTCTGAGAAATCTGCTGTGGGGAAGAGCAGCTGGGGTGGATGGGGCACAGCCCTGACCACTGTCCCAACACCACTCCTATCTCTGCTTGTTGGTCTGTTGCTGTGCCACCCAGGACACCTGGGGGATTATGGGCACAAGAAAGGGCAGGGAAGCAGAGCTGGTACAGCTTTCCTGAGGCCATAAACAACCCTAACCCCTAGTCTACCTGTCCTCTTCTACCTCCTATCAGCCACATCCTATCACCAATTCCCCCCCCATCAGCTCCATCCCACTACCAGGCCCACAACTCTTCCCTATGCCTTTTCCTTTGGATCAATCCTTACCTTCCTAAAACATCTGAACCCTGCAGCGATTCTGGTCCAGCTTTGAGTCAGCTGGTGTCATCAGTGTGACAGTGGGCACCAAGGTGAGACAGGGCTGGTCACAGGGCCAGAATCCCACTGCAAACTGCAGAAAGGTGCAGCTGTAGTTCCCTGGGGAGCAGCGAGAAGGACGGGGCAAGGGGGTTCAGAGCTGCTGACCCCATTGTGGGGCACGGTCCTGGCTCCTGCATGGGAGTGGGGAACAGGGAAGTATCAACATAGCCAATGGGACTGGCTCTCTTTAGTCACAGCTCCACGCTCAGCTGCCTGCTGTGATCCTTGGGGCAGCCAAGTCAGGGCCGTATGCTATCCTCACTCAGCAGGTTCTCTGCTGGGTACTTGGGGTCCTGCACACACAGCAGGGACACAGCATCATGTACCAACCCCTCCCTAAACACCGTCCCCTCCAGCTCTAGCTTGTTCTGGACAAGGGGAGAGACACGTAATTCTCTGGTAACCTACAGGAACAACATCCAATTTTGAGAAAGCAAAAATGATGTGAATCATTGCCCTTCAGCTTAACAAGCACCCTGTCATGCCTTGACCCACCTCTTCCAAGACCCAGCAGCTCAGACGTATCACCCCCCACACCCAGCCCCACAGAGGAAACCCCCAGGCACCTGGGAGGAGAAGGACACCATATAGCTGATTTTAACCAGAGCCATTCAGGATCCTTTGGAGACAACACTCTGCCAGAGCGTAACTTCCCTTCAGATGCCGCCGGTGCCTGGTGGGCAGAGAGGTGAGTTTGATGAGCTTGGGCATCTCCTGGCTTTGGAACCATTCAGCAGCTCCCCAGTCCCATCCCACCGCCGCGGTGCCCCCCAGACGTGCCCCGCCACCCCTCAGGTTACCGTCCCAGCAGTAACCCCCGTATCTAACTCACAGTCCCCCAGCTGCCTTCAGCCACTCCTGTGCCCGCAGCTCACCCCACAACGCCGCATTCCCGCCCCTTTCTGCCACCCGGCTACCACCCACATCCAGCCCACGAGCCCCAGCCCTACTCTACAGTGCCCTCAAGTCCTTACCCGCAATTCCCTTCAGCTCCACGGCCCGTGTTCCCAGACCCACAAACAACGCCTCAGAACTATTCTGCTATGGCTGCAGCTCCCTCGTCGTTCCCCACTTCCCCAGCCCTATTAAAACCCTGGCTCTGCCCCACAGCCTCTCCACGCCATTCGCCCACCCAGTGCTTCGCCCCCCAGTCCCAGCCGCACCGATCTCCCGCCGCCCAAGCCACGGGAGCCCCCGATCCCCGCTCCTCACTCCCGCTCTCCCGACCGTGCTGCGGGTCGGGCCCGGCCCGGGCCCGCCGCGGTGCCTGACGGGACACACAGCTCGCGGGCAGCGCCGCGCTACGGCCCCCGCGGGCGGAGCTCAGGAGCCGTCTGCCATCTGCGCCCGTTCCGGGACAGCGCAGGGCGGCGGGGGAAAGGGGCGGGCGGGGGCAGGGCAGCGGCCCGGCAGCGCTGCCACGGTCGGTACTGCGGTGCGAGGCGGCCGGTGCTGTCGACGGGGGTTACGCGCCCCGCCGCGGGCCTACAAACGGGAGCCAGCCCCTAGCTGTGACAGCTCACCGCTTTTATACGCCCGAAGTGGCGTGTCTGCCAGCCGTTCCACTCCTCCCCTCTCCTGATTGGTGGCAGGGGCAGCGCCGCGCCCAGCGATTGGCTCAAGGTGCGGCAGCTTGCCCGGTGATTGGCGGACGGCGGCGGAAGACGCTGGCCAGTAGGGGGGGCGGGGCAAGATGGCGGCTGTGCTGGAGGTGGAGGTTGGCGGCCCCGTTGAGCGTGAGGCGGAGGAGGTGCGGGGCCTGGGGCTCGGGGCCGGCGGCGGGCGGTTTGGGCGGACCCGGGCAGGGGAGGCCAGGCCAGGCCAGGCGCGGACGGGCTGCTTCAGCGCTGTGGGGTGCTCTGTGAAGAGGAGCCGCAGCGGACGTGGGGCCTGAGGGACGCGGGGTCCGGAAGAACGGGATAGGGATGTGCGCTGAGGGGTTAGGAGGGTCCCTGGAACGGGACGGCGGCGACTCTGGGTCACTTTGAGCTTGTAGACCTTTGGGGAAAGTAGGTGTGGGGAGTGTCAGGGCGGGGGAGACCCTTGGTGTAGGAGGACAGGGTCAGGAACTTCGGAGGGCCCATGGGGTAGGGGACAGTGCGGGCTCGGGGGGCAGGAGCGCAGGGATGGAGGCATAGCTGTTGTTCCCGTGCTGGCTTCTAAATGTTCTTGGGGATGAAAAATTGCAAAACTGGGAAAAAAAAAAATCTGTGTGGAAAGATGGAATTTGAAGCAGAGTGGGAGCTCTGTCACAGTGTGTGTGCCGCTTTCCAGCACTGCTGCCCTGGGCTTTGCAGTGGCTTTTCACCGTCCCCTGTGCTTCATGCTTGGGAGTTTTTTTCCCACTTGTAGAGAACCAGGAAAACTTGGTTCCATCCTGTCTGTGCTGTGGGAGCAGCTGCGCAGGGGTCATAAGTTCACTTAGCTTGTATAGTCAGGTAATTTTTTTGTGCCTTTCCTCATGAATTGGTGGTGTGGCTTAAATATTGCCAGATGCTGATGGTTGTTTTGGAGAAGATTCCTGGCAGGGCCCAGTTGTGGAGATTCCCTAGTGCATGGCTGAGCTCTGGGAGCTTGTGCCTCTGCCCTGTGCCCTGTGTTGCTGCCAGAGAGTGGTGCAGTGGGGTGATGGGAGGATTAAATCCCAGATCAGTCACTCTTGAGTTGCTCATGGTTATATTTTAAGATGCTCCTTGGTGACTTTGTATGTAAAAATGTGGAAGATACAAATCTCTGATCCTCAGAAGTGAAATTCCCACCTTTCATTCCATCAGGGCCTGGCAGAGAGGGCACCACAAGGAAGCAGCAAATGAGGAGCTGCATATAGGACTGTGCTTATCCCCGTGATTCCACAGATTGTTGGTGCAAAACCTATCTGCTTGTGCTGTCCTGAGGTCTTGGCAGCTCTTTGGGCAGATCAGTTTGCTGATGAGCCACTCGTGGTGGGGACTGAAAGCAGTTTAACATTCCACCAGAATAAAGGCAAGTGTCCCATGGCCCTGGCTCTGCCTGTGCAGGGGCAAAGGTTTAATTTGCAGTTATCCAAATGTTTGGTCAGTTGGGAGATTTCTGCTCCCTGCTCCTTGTTCCTGCATCTTATGAACAGAAAAAATGCAGAATTGAGATGCCAAAATCTCTTCAGACTTTCACTAGAATATGCCTCATCCCACCCTGCCTTGGTTGGACTTACAGCACTGTGGAGATTTATTTTCCCCATATTTCAGGTTATTCCTGGTAGGTGCTGGGAGACAGAGACTGAAGTTGGGGCAATGGGAAAGTGAGATCAAGGCTGTTGGTTGCTCTGGAGCTTTGAACTGAAATCAGCAGCTGCTTATTCTCCATCCTCAAGGCATTCTTCTTGCCTCCTCTGGAGATTTAGAGCATAAGTGGATTACAGTCAGCTCTCAGTGGTGTGTATGTTTGCCCAGAGATCCTCCCAGCTCCCTGGGCTGTGAGGAATGTGTGGCTCCAGCTTTGCTGTTATCCATATCAACAGTTTTTGTGTTTTTCTCAAGGTGGTTATTCTGTGACTGTCCCAGTGGTGAGGATCACAGGTTTGTGGAGGCTTTGGGGCATCAGCTCCTGCAGAAAACCAGGGAGTGGCACAAGGTTCTTCCAAAGGCCATGATGCCATGTCCAAGGAGAGGATTAGACTTTAATCCTAGATATCCAGTTTCTCCTAGTCATCACCTGGAAGAGGCTGAGGTTTTTGAGAGGATCATGAATTACAGAGGAGACAGAGAGAAGAAGAATTGTTCTTAATTCCTTTTCTTTAAAACAAAAAGTTTATCTGAGGGCTGTAGTTGTTAGCACACTGGGTCCTGTGTTGGTATGGCAGCTGAAGGATGCTGAAACAGGAGTAGGCTGGTGTTGAACACTTGGTAGAGCTGATCTTCAGCTGCTTCAGTCACCCTAAATGTTGTTGTCAAACTCCTCTTGGTAAAGGGAGATTTAGGAGTAGAGGTTCTTCTACCTGGCTGTTGGGGTTTGAAGGAGACCCAAAAGACTCAAAAACTGCACGTTGAAATCAGACAACCCCAAACTAGATGTGGAATGAATGCTTGCTGGCAAGAGCAGGTGCTTCCTTCACCATTCCTGTGCATTTTTAGCTCTAACCCAAAACTTTTGTGCTGAGTGTGCAGATCAAGGAGGGGTTAACTGGAAGGTCTGACTCAGGGTGGCTGCTCTGCCAAGTCCTGTCTGACAGTCATCAGATCCCTCTCAACATCCCTTCTGTCACGTCCTGGCCCCCCTTAATAAAGTTATTTCAGGAGCTTTGAGCTCTGGGGAATCTGGTGAAGCTCAGTCCTTGTACTTGAGAGAAAACTGTGTCCAGGGCCACAGATCCCTGATTGGCTTGGGAGCATAGCTCAGAAGAAGCCTGTCTGCGGCAGCAGTGTTCCCACAGGATTTGGAGCTGAGGCATCTTGAATGCATTTACTGGAAGAATTTGGAGATCCAGGGAAGACACCAAGGGAAAGAGGCTGGTAAATATCCCAGTCTCCAAGATGGGACCAACACTGTGGAGTGGCTGCTGGTGTGGAGCAAGGGAGTGAGCTGAGCCACCATATAGAAATGAAAATCATTGCTGTGGTTGGAAGGTGCTTGTCAAACGTCTTCATCCAGCAAGGGTGGGGACAGAGCCTGGGAGGAGTGGGAGTCTCGTGGTGGGAGGCAGTGGGAGCACCCAGGTGACTCTCAGAGCTTGTAGAGGGATTGACGTGTGCTTGAGCCAACAAGCACTAGGGGTTTCTCAGAGTCTCCTGTGTGCAGTGACTAGCAAACATTTTAACATCTCCTTTTTTCCTGTTTGTTTGGAGCAGTTGTTGCTCCAAATTACATTGCAATTACTGAACTGATGGATCTGGATGTGGCTGCTTTAGGAACGGAAGTACTCAGGGAATTTGGTTGATACAAACACCCTTCTTGGTGTTAGGTTGTCACCACCTTCCCTTGGCTTCTGATGCAGTTCAGCAAGCTCCAAAAAGGATTTTCGTAGCTTTAGATTTTGCATCTAAGTCCTGAAGTGTTTCTTCAGGACTTGATTCTCAAGGGCAGGCTGAGTTTCTTGCAGGTGTTGCTCTGGGGTGAAGCTCGGCAGATGTTCCACATCAGGCAGATGGATTGCTGTGGTGTGCTTTTCCCTACCTCCTCGCCCTGGGGTAAAATTAGGTGCCACAGAGAAAACGAGGCAGCTGTGCATCCTCAGCTGAGCCTGGCTGTGATCAGAGCTGCTGCCTGGGAGACACCTGTGTGCTGGTGATGGTGACCAGGCAGATGAGGTGACTGCTGCACCAGCCTGTGGAGAGCCCCAGCATAAAGGCTGGATCCGAGCCTGTAACCCTGTACCCAGTGGGGTGAGGTGGAGCTCGTTCCTGTGTACACATCTCTGGTGTGTGCAGGAAAGAGTGGTAACAGTCTGTGCTATGGCTTGTTTCCAGCTTCATCTCCAATGCCTCAGCAATACTGGAGTGTCTCCAGCACTGTGAGGATTTGTAAACCCCACATGCATGTGTCCAGCCCAGATGAGCTGCACTTGATTTAATCTGAGTTTGTGTCTCACCAAGAAAAGGTGATGGGAAGAGCTGTGGGATTCCCTCCCCAGTGCCAT